CCTTATCTTTCATATATTTGTGATATTGAAAGAAAATGTTATTATTGTTGTTGCTTAAATGCTATGCAAATATAATGTAAATTAGTTACTGTTAAATGTTGCATTTTGGGATTTATTTACTCATTAATAAGTGCCATTCATTTCCTTTTTTTCAAATAACTAAAATGAATACTACAAATGTATGCTACTTACAAGCATGAATTGCTTAATTATAATTTAATTATGAATTTATTTCTCATCAGACTTAATTATTCATTAGTTTAGAAAACAGTTAAAAAGTGCAAATTGTAAATTTAATTATTGCAACTGCATGCTGCGCAGAACTGAAAAAGTTTTTTTAATACTGATGGCAAGTAAATCTGTCGTAAATTATGGCATGCAGATCGTGCATTTGCACTTCTAATTGCAATTTTTGTTGTTAATTTCTGATTTGTTGTTTGGTCATTTGTAAAAATATTAACAATTGCTAATGTTAATTTCTCATAAATTATAATAGTTATTGTTAGAGTAATGTAAATCACAGAACAGAATAAAAGTTTTTTAAAAAATTGTATTTTAATTTTTATTAAAATTTTAAAAGTATTAACAATCGTTATGAGGAAAAGAAAAAAAAAAGTCCGCACAAACGATTATCAAGATAAAATGTTAAATATTGATTTAACTCTTTCTAGAACTTCAAACTTTATTATAGCTAAAAATTTCTGTTGTCATAGCTGCTGGTAGCAATTCTCATTTCTTTTTTCAAATTTTAGCTATTTTATAAATCAAAATTAGACATATCATAGCAAAAAAAAAAATTTTTCACTCCAATCATACTAAATATCTTACTAAACAATCTTTTTCATTCATTAAAATCTAACAATTTTTTCTTCTTTTAATTTTTCCATCCAACCATCCAATTTCATTTCATCAATTTTATCCATCAATATTGTAATGCTCATATATGTGATAAGTAAATTATGCATATAAATTTGTTATTATTATGTTGTTTATCTAATTTTTATAAATTATTTCTGTAATGCAATTTTTGATATATTTTACAAATTTGAGGGATTAAATTTAAAAAAATGATAATTATCACTGATAAAAGAAGTATCATTTAAATTATATTTGATAAATAAATGAAAATATATCTACTCTTATGCACTTATATGTTTTCAAGTTCATTTATCTATCAAAACAAAGAGAAGAAAGAGAGAGAGAGAGAGAGAAAGAGAGAGAGAGAGATGTACATGTTGAATAGGCCTTTGAATTTGCTTTGAAAATAAATTGATGTTTAGGCTTCTCTGTATTATATCAGCAATAAATGAATGTGCTCTCGCATTATTATTACATTGATAAAAATTGACTTTTCTTCTGCAATGGCTTTTTTATTTTTTAACTTTTATTTTATTTTTTCTTTTGAATAAAAATGAAGAAATACACTATCACTTTTTACCTCTCTCTTTCTCTCTCTCTCTCTTTTTGTTTGTTCAAATATATTTCGTTTTTTTTTTTTTTTAAAATATGATTCTTACTAATGCTTATTTTAGAAAAGAATTTTTAATTTTAATCGAGCAATATGCTTATGGAATTAATTATTGTTACTATAATTATTAATTAAATTCCATTTAAAATCATTTTAGCATTGATTCAATAATTCCTAAATTAGCACTTGAAAATTTCTGAAATATCATTTATTGGTTTATCTAAAGATGTTCGTGCAATGTTGTGCAATGACAATTAATCATGAATTGTGCATTGAATATTTTAATTGTTATCATTTATTATTGCTTAATACTTTAACTATTTGATTAAATCGATTATAAAATTTAAATATTAAATATTGTTTTAAGCTAGGAAGAAAAGCTTATTTAATTTGCATAACTGTCACACAGATTTATGAAAAGAAAAAAAAAAATTTTATTAATAAATAATAAAAATTTCCACTTCAAGATGTAACATTTTTTTCTTTTTAGAAAAAGAAGAAAAGAATGAAATTATATTGTAAAAAAAAAAAGTGAAATTAAAATTAAATAATATATTCCCGAAACTTTTAAGCTAAAATTTTAAACATAATAGTAATAGAGCCATTTCAAAATATTACAATAATGTGAATTTAATTCTCTACAAATTTAAGCAAAATTAATTGCTATCTATTTTATCAAATAGTAACTTTTTTTTTATATCTAAATCAATTAATCAATTTAATTACATTTGTTTACTCATCAATTATCATTAGACAATTAAAGGCTAAAAATTTTTTTTCTCTTCTCTTTATACATTATAATTAATTACTATTACTTTTTTCTTTTTTCATCAGTAGCGCTTAGTTTTATTTGCTTTTCGATCGCTGATCGAAAATATTTAAGCCTAAAATTAGCAATGCATCAGATATCATTTCATCTAAATTTTATTTCATGAATACTTTTTTAAATTTTAATTCATACATTCTCTCTCTTTCTCTCTCTTTTTTTTTTCCGCGTCCATCAAATTGAATGTTTACTTTTCTGCTCATTCGATCATCAATTTTTCTTTCTTTTTTTTTTTCCTTTTTTGGTATTTTTCATTATTGGATTTTGTTCTATGCTCGTAAGAATAAAAAAAATTGATTGATTGATTGATTAATTCTTTGGATCGATTTTGCTCTATTCCGGAACTTCACAGTTTTTTCATTTTCTTTTTCCTACATTAATGATCCGTAATTTCTAAATTAATGAAAAATTTTTAATTAAACTTTTTTCAATTCATAACATAAACGAAACAGTTTTATTTGTAACTGTTTAAATTATTATTATTATTGATAAAAAATAATTGTTTGAATTAAATAAGAAATAAATTTTTGTGCATTTGAAAAAAAAAATTTTTTTAGATTTAATCCGAAATCAATCAATCAATCATTAGTTCTTCTTTTCTAATAAACACTATGCTCCCTCTTTTTTTCTTTTTTTGATTTAGCCGAAAATTTATGCAATCGATATAGCAAGCAATATTGATAGATATTTTAGTTTTTTCATAAAAATTTCAATATTTAGATTTTAAAATTTAGGAGAGAAATGTTAGTCCTTTTTTGTAAAAATTTTAAAATGATAGTTAAATTTTATGTAATGAGTGTTTTTTCCACAAATGAATAGTGATAATATTGCCTAGGAAGCATTTAAATGTGATCTTTTTCTTTCTTTTTTTTTTTTCTTTTTGATTTAAATGGCTAAAATTGAAATGAAATGCTAAATGCATTGAATGAATTGCAAAATAGCGAAATGGTGTGACTGAACAGAATTGAAATGAAATGAATTGAAATGAAATGAAATGAAACAAATGGAAATGAAATGAAATGAAATGAATTGAAATGGAATGAAATGAATGGAAATGAAATGAATGGAAATGAAATGAATTGAAATGGAATGAAATGAATTGGACATGCTTAGATCATTTTGATAGCAGCTGTAAAATTCATTGAATTTCAATGAATGAATGAATGAATTCATTTGATAATACAGATGAATGCCTTCAAATCTTGTTCCATTCTTTCTAGAGTTCCACTAATTATAAATTTTAGTAATAACATCTCTTTCTCTCTCCATTCTTTGTTTACATATATGTTTATATTATACACATATGCAAATATTTGCACTAGATAGCTTTAACTTGATTAGATAATTTAATTTTTTTGAAGAAAAAAAAAACAGTTGTAAATTGATAGAGTATTTAAAAGATAAAATTTTAATAAAAATTCTTAGCTTAGAAATAAATCAATCCTGTTAATATGATTGAAATTTATTTTTAATATTATTATTTTTCTTTTTTTTCTGCTTCAGCAATTAACAAAAATTAGTTAGTTGATACATTTTAATAGAAATTGTTTAAAAATTTTTTCTGTTATACTAAATAGTGAAATGTTTTACATGAAATATTTATGGCAAAATATTAAATTTATTTATTTAAAAAATTATTAAAATTTATGCATTAGATGATATTATTCTTTTTACCTATTGAAATTGATAAGTGATTTAGTGGTAATTATGGATGAGTTAGTTAAATTGTATGATAATATTTATTTTGCAAAATTTTATTTTTTTTTTTTTTTTCATCTTTATTTTCTCATTTTACCTTTGGAAAATGAGAAAAAGTGAAAATCATTTTTCAATTTTGTTTTAAATTCATTTTTATTTCTTACATACATATGAAAACAATAAATGACTTAAAATGATGGTTTTTTTTTATATCACAAAATTGCATTATTAAAGTATATTTTTTATTTAAAGAAAAAAACAAACCAATTTTTATAAAAGTGTAAAATTTCCTTTTAATTCTATTCTGTTTAGCTTTTTTTTTAAAAAAAAAAATGACAATCATTACAAGAAATCAATATTTCGATTAACCGATACATCAATATTTCTTCCAAATGATATAATTCTTTCATTTTAAAAAGATTTTCTCGTCTTTTGCTGCAAATTTTTAGTGGAATTTTTTTTTTCAAATATTAGGAAATTTTGATGAGTAATTCAGCTATTAGTTAAAATTTAAATTATCATTTAATTTTTAATGTATTACATCTCTCTCTCTCTCTCTGCATGTGCCATAAGTTTGTAAGATTTACAAGAAAAAAAAAGCTCTATAAATAAATAAATGAAAAATTATAATAATTAATCATTCTTCTACTGCTTTATGTATTAGTCATCCAAATGAAGATGACTCATGCAAAGTCTTTATCTTTTGCTTTATAGCATCGATTAAAGTGTAAGCAATTGACTTTGCTTATATTTTAAAAATGTTCAAAAGGCTTTGTGAGTGAGAAATTCTTAATCCATAAGCAAATAATTACCGCTTTTCTGTGAATATCATTGAATTTATAAAGATTATACAGACTGGAAAAGCTTAACGTTCTTAGGAAAATGAAAACTTTTAATTTATTCTAATAATTTATTTTTTTTTTCATAACATTCTTCTCTTAAAAGAGAGAGAGAGAGAGAAAGAGAAAGAGAAAAAAATTGATTTTAAAAAAATTTAAATACTTTCAGCATTCAATTACTTTCATCATTGCTAAATTCCGGACCACGTTATTATTCCGCTGGACATTGTAATCCATCATTACCGGTGAACAATAATAATTCAAATTGGTGTGATACTGTGACATTTCAAAACTTATCTAAATTAGAATTATTACTTGGATCAAATTTGTCATCACAATTACCATCTCCACTTGAAGAAGATTGTCAACAATTGACAATTGGTCAATTTTCAACTGATAACATTCCAACGGTTAGCATTATTTTATCTTTTTTTTTTTTTTCATCTTAACGATAGGTAATTTTCTCAAAAGTATAATTATTTAAAAAAAAAAAGCAAAAAAAGTGCTCATAAATTTGCATAAAAAGAAAATATTTATTGGATGCATAGATACAATTTTCGGAAGTAGTAGAAATTTGTTATTCACCGGAAAGGACAACTTTTTTTACGCATTTTATTTTCGTTTTTCCTTCTTTTCTTTTTGCTGTCTCCTCCTCAGATCTTATCATTTCTTCAGAAGCGCAGCTGTTCCTATTTCAATCTGTTCGTCGTTTTCACATTTGAAAAAAAAAAAAAAAAAACTCTTCTCTTTGGCGCTTTTGTAAATCATTCAAAACTCATTATGAACTTCCTGTATTTCTCTCTTTTTTTTTATATATTTATTTTCCTTTTCCATATTTTTGAAATTTTCCTTTTTTTTTTTGAAAATGTTTTAATGTGTTGCAGCTGTGCTTGTATTGCTTCTTTCTTATTTTCTTTCTTTTTTTTTTTTCTTCTCTTTTTTAAATGAAAGAAAAATATTTTAAGAGTTAGTGCTATAAGTATCTTTCTTAGTTTTTTGGCTTTTTTGTTAAATTTCATTCTCTCTCTCTCTCTCTCTCACATACAGCTTTTCAGTTTTAAAAAAAGTGAAAAAAAAAATTCAAATCAATTAGCTTTATGTTAGCAAAGAATGTAAGTTAAATCATTTTGACATGCATTGAGACATTACTAATGGCTTTTTATTGATACTTTTAGTTTTTTTTTTTTTTTTTTGTTTTTGTTTTTATTATCGATTAGAACTTATGGTCAAGATCTTTGTTCGGAAAATAATATCAAGGAGAGGTTAAAGGTCATTTTGTATTGTCTAAATACTGCGACACTTATTCAAGAAATTCCATAATTTACAAATAAATCACTTACTGATTTTTTTCTCATTCTCATAATAATTAATCTATTTACTCTGTTTTTTTTTTCATCAGTTAAAATGATTTAATTAGTTATAAAAATGAATTAAGCTAATTTATCCATAAAAATCTGATAAGCTTTGCTAGCAAACGATTATTTTGTATTTTCAATGCAAATTCATCCTTCAAATTTCCTCAGCATCATATCCACAAATTCATTCATTAATTTCATTTGTTTACATTTCTTTTGTTGATTTCTATTGAAATGTTTGTTGTTATAAAGTAATCTCTCTCATACTTTCTAACTTCCCAAAAGCAATCTCTTATTTCCGGTGACATCTGAGACATCTAATCTCTCTCTCTCTCTCTCCCTCCCTCTCTCTGCTTATCTTGACAGCTTTTTTGTCCATTTGCTATTTCCTTTCTAACATTTCTGGCCATTTCTTTTGTTTATCTTTCAACATTCAAATGTCTATCATTTCAATGACAGATATATTTAAGTGTAAAATTAAACAAAAATTATAAATTAAACAAAACAAAACAAAAAAGAAGGAGAAAATTTCTTTAAATTACATCAAATTAATATATTTTTTTTTTTTGGAACAAAAAAAAATATTAACATTTTTATTCAAATAATTTATGAGCTGTTGTTGAAATTTTTGTGAAATTTCTCTTGAGATTTTAACAATCTTTTTAAACAACATATTTTAGTTTGTTTCATAGCTAAATGCTATCTCATATTACTTCTATCATTCTCTCATATCAGTTGTTTTGTTGTGGCTTATTTCCACTTTTATTTTATTTTTGTTTACTATTTTGTTTATTCCAATTTTAGTTAATTTACATTTACTCATTTCTCTTCATTTCCTTTACTTTTCTCATCAAATCTTATTAAATTTTTACATTGTTCATAACTTAACTTAGAATCGATTTGCAACGTTGCAAACAATATGGCAATGATTTTAAATGCTTTAAATGTTCAACAAAAAAAAAAAAAATTTAGTAAAATTAGCATTTAATTATGAAGAAATTAATAAACTTTTATATGCCAAATTTTTTATTTCTCTGGAAAATATTTTTTTTTTTTTAACAACGATAAATTTAATTGAGTTGAAAATTTTGAAAATTCGAATCAGAATTCACTTTTTTTTATTTGTTCATTAAATAATTTTTTCTTTTTTTTCGAACTTGAAATATTAGTCTTAAATTCTTTCCTTCATAATTCAGCATTGAATAATTTGTTCTCGAATTCAGTGCATATCTAAATTTGATGACATTTGAATTAGAAGCACTAAAATATGTCACAAAAATATATTTTACCTATGCTTTCCATATTCCAACCAACTAAATAATGAAAAAAAAAAAATTAACTAAATCATTTCACTCAATTTTTCAATGTTTGAATTAGAAATACAAATCAATTTCTAAATGTATTATAATTCCTAATTTTGAATTAAATTTATCCAATTCAAATTTTAGATTAAATAAATTCCATCTCTTCTCATTTACAAAAATTTCATCCTTTCATTCTTTTACACCATTAAATCTTATTGATAATACAATAATTTTTGCATTTTTTCTGTGATATGGAAATTTCGACAGATTGTCCAAAAACCTTTCTCTCTCTCTCTCTCTCTCCCTCCCCTCTCTCTCTCTAATGGCTTTTATTCCAAATCATTGAGCCAAAAAATTAATATAAATAAAATTGGATATGATATATGCCAGTGATTATTTCACTTTGTCATTCTCATCGACAGATACCGCTATATATTTAATTAATTAACGATGAAATATTAATTGAATAGGTAGATTAATAAGTGCATTTTTATGATCCGTCAAAGCCGCCTCATAATTAAACCCAATTTTTTGGAACATATGTGAGATACATTATGCTTTTTAGAGTTTAGTCAGCTTATTTTGAATGAAATCTAATTAATACTGTAATTAGTGAGCCATTCAATTATCGCATTTTATTTTATTTTTCATACTAAGACATATAAGTAAGCATTCATTGTTACTTACTTCTTCTTGTTCCTTTATATAATTTAATAAGTAAACTTACCATATAAATTATAAGTAAAAAAGTCAATATGTACTCTTTAGTTTATTAACTTCTTTATAAAAAATAATTTGCAAATATTTTTTCTACATGTAACTTTTTAAGTTCAATAAATAAAATAAATATAACTTAATTAAGGATAATTAATTGGCTTTTGCTCTAGCAATAAATAAAGTTAAATGATAAGCTTATAAATTAGTTAAAAGATATGGGCGAATGATAAAACATTTAAAAAAAAGTCAAATGAAAAATGAATTTGTTATGAAATTATGAGAAAAAAAAGTTTATTAAATATAACAATTTAGTTAAATATAAGCTTAATCTTAGCCAAATAATTCTAAAAAGTTTTTTTTTTTTTTAAAAAAAAGAAGTCTTAAATTATATTTTAATCATAATAAGAGATGAACTTGTATAGTATAGAAATTCTTTTGAAATGAATTAAATAGTTAAAAAAAAAAAAAAGAAATGAAAAGGAATCATTTACACATCAATGCTTATGTGACATTGGGCGCATTAGGAACAGTTAATTAAACAGAGGAAAAGAAACTTTTGAATATTTTTTTATAAATGATTTTATCAATTTATTGATGGAAACATCAAACTTTCTTTTTCGTTTCTTTTTTTAATTTGTAAATTATTCAAATGTTAAATGGGAAATGAATTTGAATAGATTATATAAAATGTGATAATTGTAGTTTGAATTTAGTGAATGTAAGGCAAACAATGAATACATAAAAGCGCATATGTGCAAAAACGGATATCCGTTCGAAGAGTTTTCAATTCAATTCAATTCAATTCATTAAATTAATAAGCCTTTTACTTTATTATATATAGAGTTTGAAAAAGATTGTTTATTGGTGATTGTAATTGTTGGAAAATGTTGTCTTTTACCTCTAGAAATAATTAAATTCATCAATAATTTCAACAATTTATATTGAGCTAAAATGAAAAGAGTAAAACTGAGATTTATTTTAAGCTTTATTTTAAGTTTGAGTTTCTTTTTTTAAGCTATTAGCATTCTAACATCGTAAAATAAATTGATTAGGTCAGAGTTCATCATGATTACAAATATTTGAGCAATACAATTACTATCGATAAGATAGTTGCTTATCGTACTACAATAAATATAAATTGTTGAAATTACATTATTCATGATAATAACATCATCAATCATTCGCTAAGATAATTATTAACCTTTATGAATATTCTAATTTATCTCTTCTACATGATAATAAGTTTTGGTTCCGTTCAAAAATTCATTGCAAAAAGTTAAGTAAGTAGTAGTCAAGTTATCACATTGATCGATTTTATCAACTTTATAAAAAAAGCGAAATAAGGTGTTGTAAAATTTTATAAAAAGTTGTAAAACTATTTTTTTTTTCTTTTTTAAATTTTATATATCAGTTGTATAAATTCGTAGAGATTGTGAAGCATTAGAAAATTGGAGAGAGAGAGAGAGAGAGAAGAAAAGGAGAGAGAGAGATTAATCTGCATACTTGTCAAGGTGACAAACCCAAAAATAGGTGATTTTATTAGAGGCTATTGTCGATCAAAATTTTGGTTCTTTTATAATTTTTTTTTTTGCTAAAATTGTAAACTCTTAGAAATTTAAAATATTTTATAAATTATTTATTGTCTTTGTATCGATCATTTAATTGGAATGATAGAATAGCAATAAATATATCACTTCTTATTAATTAATTTAATTTATTATTTCACTCTTTTCATACGCTATTTAAATTAGCTCATAATTTTATTTTACCTTTTTTGTAGTTTTACCTACCTTTCATAATTAATATTTACAAATTTCATTAGCAAATCTTTTTTCTTTTCCTATTTCTTGCAAATAAAAATATGATTAATTATCCATTCATAAACATTAATACAACGTTTGATATTTTAATTTTAAATATTGCTCAAATCTATCCGCGCAATTTGTCATTCATCATTTTAAATCGATTAGTTTGTTCAGTTTCTTTTTTCATTTATTCCATTTCTTCCAAAAATTGTTGTAAATTTACCGCATAAAATTGTCATTAATAAATTTTTGCAAAATGAAAAAAAAGTGATTTTGTTATTATCATAAAGCAAATTAAATTCATTTATCATTACTATCAGTGATATAATTACAACTGCTATCATTTATTATTCATTTTACAATTATATAATTTCAATTATGACCTGCACTTTTAAAATTTCATTTGAAGAAGTTAGGTAATTTTTAACTTTTTCTAATAAAGTAAAAATTTTGAACCTTTTTTTTATCCTTTATTTTTTATATTCTGTGATTTTCCAGCGATCAGTGTTTATGATTGCAAAATGAATAATCTTTTCTTTTTTTCTTTAATCAATTTCTAATCAATATACCAATGATAATTAACTGCTAATCAATATACCAGCGATAATTGTGATTTATATGAAATTATAGCTACATTCCCTTCATTGTCATATTTAAACTGTAGCATTATTATGTCCTTCAAATCAAATTTATAATATCTGCAGAATGCTTCTAAATCATTTCTGTCAGATGTCAATAATTGGTATTTATTACAGGTGGATAATACACATTTACCTATCAAATTTTCACTTACAAAAATTGAAATTCATTTATTTGCCCTCATCTTATTAAATATCCATTATATTAAACAAAAAATTTGTATTTAAAAAATAATGAATTTCAATACTAATATAATATTAAATTACATTACCAAAAAAAAAAAATCTTTTTTTTTATTTTTTCCAACTAATTTTAACTCATTTATTTAATAAATAATTGATAATAAACTTCAATAATAAAAATCATTTTTTGATTTTCAAAAAAAAAAAAAAAGAAGAATTTCTGAATTTAGCAAATTAGAAAAATATTTTTGTGAATGAATTGAATTATTTTATTGATTTATTTACTTTTATCATAGTGATCATTGCATAAGTTAAACAACAGAAAAAATAAAAATTTGAAATAAAAAAAGAAAAACACCAAAAAAAAAGATTTTTCTTTTTCCGCTTCTCACTAGTTTATATTTTTATCTTTTATAATTAAAATACGAATAATTTAAAGGATTAACTGCAGTACCAAGACCTGAAATTAATTACAATATCAAAACCTAAAATTAATTGCAGTAGAAAGATTTGAAGTTGTATTACTTGTGTTGATAAGTATTTTTTATATGTGTATGTATGTTTGTGCATGTATGCATGTGTGTGTGTGTGTATGTTTGTATGTATGTATGTGTGTGTATGTGTGTTTGTGTGTGTTCGTATTGTACATGGCATATAATTAAATCAATGTTTAATGATCATTTTAGAAGAGATTGGAAAAAAAAAAGAAGAAATAAGGGACAAGAAAGTGACAGAGAAAAAGAAAGGAAGAGAGAGAGGGAGAGAGAGAGAGAAGTCGAAAAATTGAATTTATTCTTTTCGTTCCTTTCAACAATTACTGTCCACTTTTAATGACCTAAAATAAAAAAAAAAAATGAAGTATATGTTGTTGTTATTTTACTTTTATAGAATAAAAGAAATGAAAAAATGGTTAGTTTGTTGATAAATCATTTACGGAATTGGAGATGATTAATCCGGTATGATTAATCCGGTTTCATTCTGATTCATTAAAATTTTATGCATAAACTAACAGACACAATTATGAAGTAATTTATCTTTAATTTTTTACTTTTATTCATTTTTTTTTTCTTTTAAAGTAAAAATAAGTTTAGTTTAGAATTTAAAAAACTTTTTCAAAAAATATATATGAAATGTGAATTCTTTCAATTTTGTTCCTTTTCAAGTAATAACTCTATTTCTGCTTCTATAAATGACTTTAAAAATGTTTAACTGAACTTTTTTTTTTTTCAAAATTAACTTTCGTCTTTCTAAAACTTTCTTTTCAAATGCCTATTCTGCTCTCTCTCTTTCTCTCTCTTTTTTTTTCCATCAAAGGACATTTTTTTTTTTCAAACGTTTATATTTTTGGAAAGTTATTGCTGCAAAATTGTGTAAAGAAATAATCAAACTGAAAAAGAGCAACAATAAAACATTCGAATCGATTTATTTGTTATTGATTAATCAATCAATCAATCAATCAATATAATTAATTCTTCATTTCTCACTGATAAACTTTTCGTTACATTGAATTAACTGTACAAAATGATAGATAAAAAAGAAAACCATAAATAAGTTAATTAATTATTTAATATTGCATAGTTAATGCAATAAAATAAATTTTTTTTTTAATTATCTTTTTTTCTTCTTAAAAGAAAATTTTCTTATAGTTTAAAAGATTTAATTTTATAAAAACGATTAATCCTTTCTTTCCTTTTTTTTTTTTTTTTTTTTCATTGATTATAAATTATTTGAAGTAAATAAATTTTTAGAAAGAAACGAACATTCAAAAGAAAAAAAAAAAAAAAATTTTTTTTTTTTCAATGACATTTTGTCAGTTCAAATTTTTCATTCAATATTATAAGTGTGAAATGAGCGTTGAAGCGCAAAATAATAGATATTAACTTTTTGAGTGAGATGCGACAACGACGACTTTCTTTTTTTTTTTATTCCCACAAAATGCATTCCTCTTTTCAATCCTTCTTTTATGGGATAATATGACACTTTCAATGATGCTATGATGACGGACTGTCAAAGTCGTACGATTCATTTGACGTGAAAAGCATTCATCAAAGTGTAAACCATTAACCCTTATTTTAGATATAAATATAATAAAAACTTTTATTATTATTTACAACTATCATATTTTGTTTGATAAATTAACAGCTAAAAACTTTAATTTAATTTTTATAATTTACCTATAAAAATTCTTGTTTTTATTAAACAATTAATTGATTCTTGTCTTTTTTTTTTAATTGTCTAAGATGAATTAATGGAATATTTATGTGAAAATAACTGAATAGTTTTAAAATCTATAAATTTAGTTAAAGTTTCAAAATTACAAACTTTCATAAATTTTTTTTTTATATGTATGTATAACTAATTCTGTTGCGTTGATAAGTTTTGTAACTGATAATTAATTCCAAATAGAATGAAACTATTTCTAAAATTAATTATGAGAATTAACTTTTCTCATAATTTCATCTCAATTTCATCTAAAAAAATTTACATTATATTTTGAAGCATTTTTTTTTGGTAATTTCAAAAAATCAAAAATTTTTTTTTTGATTTTATATTTCTATAAAAATCATAAAGAATATTATGATGAATGAATGTTTACTGATAGATCGGAATAAATTCCGGATAATGTTTCATTTAAAAAGGAAAGGCAAGATACTTTCTGTTTATTCTCTATCAAATTTTAGCTTATAAAAATCAAAAAAAAAAAAGAAAAGAAAAGAAGAAAAATTTAATGATTGATGAAAATTAGAAATAATGTACGATCCCTAAATTATTCGAAATGTTTAGAGGATGTCTAATTTGTGTGATCTTTTCGTGGCTAATCTTCATCTTATAAGCAACATTTGTCACCCCTGACCATTTTCTGATGAGCATAGTAAAGTAATTAGAAACTAAGGTCAGCTGTTACCTTTACAGAAATAAATGCAACTGATGTCTATTCGGCATCTACTTTTGATGATAGTATATGAGGAGGAGGTGGTAATACTATTATCAGAGAGATAAGAGATTACTACTAACTTGTAGTAATAGCTCCTTTTTTTTTTCAATTGTTTCATATATCAAATAGCTAAAATGAACTAATTTAAAAAAAAAAAAAGAATACTGAAATGACTAATTTTAAATTATTAAAAAAAAAAAAAATCAATTTTACTTTTTAGTTTTTCAACTTTTCATATATTTATGTAATAATATTATTAATTATTAGAGTAAAAGTAAGAAATACATTTAAAATATAATCTGCTAGAACAAATAAACGAAATAATAGAAAAAAAAAAAGAAAAATAAACAAAAATGGAAATAAGAATGAAATAAGAGAAAAGAAAAGAAAAGGAAAGAAATGAAAACGAAATCATAAATCAAAAATTAAACTTCTCATTTGCTGTATATCAATTCATTTTATTTTTATCATTTTTTTTTTTTTATATAATAATTTGAAAAAATAAATATCAAATGTATCGTATTTCATTTATGTTATATTTTTAATTATATATTATAATTTTAAATATTTTAAGGATAAAATACCTTCCTAAAATTGATAAATAGGAAATTATGAAATACATAGTGTGAAATAATTCATTATGAAATATTTAAATTAATTTGAACATATTATTTTAGAAAAAAAAATCTTTTTTTTTTCTTTAAGAATTTTGATTTGCTTTCATTTATTACTATTATTGTAATAATTGAAATATAAAGATTTGTTGATTTTCAACTTTTTTATCAATCATATAAGAAAAATTAATTTAAAAAAAACAGACTAAATGCTATTTACAATTATAAGATCGTTGATTTTTTTTTTTTAAAATTTGACTTCTATGTTAAATTTTGCTATTATTGCTAATATCAGATAGAATTACATTGCGCTTCAAAATTGCAATTGCATATGTCACTTTTACATTTTATTGAAAATTTCTTTTATCAATGCTTTTTCAAATATTTCTCTTTCTTTCCTTCTTCTTTTTTTTTCTTCGTTTTTTAAAAAGAGAAGAAAAAATTATTTTTTTTTTATATAAGTTTAAGAAATAAACTTTGAAATTTAAAATAAAATTTTCTCTTCTGCTGTCATTTTAATTTCATTTATATTGTAATAATAATTAATTGATTCAATGTTGGTAAAAATTTATTACAATTATGAATTAATTATTTCAACTTTACTTTATTTTTTTTTTTTTAACAGATGGAAAAACAAAGATTTGTTGGATTTGAAAATGTGAAAGAGACAGAAGAGCAGAAAGGTCAGTTAATAGGACAATCTCAGAATTCCACAACAGCAGTACCACAACAGATTCTCGGGTCATCAACATCATCATCATCATCATCACCATCATCATCGATAAAACCGTCAACAACAACGACAACAGCAACTTCAAATGAACAGAAAGCAGTAAATATATCAGTGGATGGAGGAGGTGGAGCTCGAGATATGGTCCGAGTACGACAACGCCCTCATATACCACCGAAACCACAGATGGACGCCGTCAGATACAGCATGGCGAATGTACAAGGTCAGTTTTTTTTCCCTCTTCTCTTTCTTTTTCTCTCTCTCTCTCTCTCTCTCTCTTTGTCTTGAATATATTTAAGTGTAGTACAGTTTATTAGCGAGAAAAAATGAATGAAAGAAAGAAAAGGAACGTTTAAAATGAGTTTGACAATTTTGTCAATGTCAATGAAGTATTGCTTTTACTCGTTAATTAGGGTGTAATTGATCTTTTTTTAAAATTTAATTTAGTATCAATTCATTTTTTTTTTCATTCTTCAAAAGATATTTAAGCAAGAAGTGAAAAATGAATAGATTATTAATAATTTGCTAAATTTGAAATATTAAAGTAATAATTTTAAATCTTTTTTCTAAATGAATTGCTTCTTTTTTCTTTTTCTCATAACTTTTAAATAGAAAAAAAAAAATTTATTTGTTAATAAAATTATTGGTTAAAAGAAAAAAAAAAATTTGATAAAGAAATTAGTTATTAATACAAAAATTATGGATTCAATTTTTTTTATTTTAAAGCTAACAAAAATATGAAGAATGTCACCAAAATGAATTTCATGTCATTAAGTAGTTACATAATAATTGGATTGTTATGTAATATATTAGCAATTTCACAGATCATACAATCAAGAATGATTCATTGAGTCTCGACTTATTCCCAGAAATTCAAACTTGATTCAGTAAAAGAGAATGCTATGCTCTCTTCTTACTTATTTCTAGTTTACACTATAATATCACTTTATTGAATTTTTCCAAAATATTAGAATTCAGACTTAAATTGCATCTCTTATGGGAATTTATAATCACTGAATATTTTCGCTTTCCAATTTAATTCCTAATTTTGCTTTTTATTTGACAAAAGATAGTTGAAAAAATTATTTTCATTCTATCATTATTATCATAAAATTTTGATACAAAATTTATTTTCAATTTTTTTATTTCTATTTTGAATGAGATAAACTTTTCGAATAGTATTCCAAAAAATATGCGCAAACACTTGAAATTTATTCAGAAAATGTTTAGTGCATTTTCTCAAATTAACAATTTTTTTCAACAATATGCGCAAATGTGATCAGAACAATATGCGCAAATCATTTATAACATATTGAATAAGTTACTGATCAACTAATAGCATTAGAAAGAGCTGAATTGGCTCAAAAAAAAGAGAGATTCAAAATATAATCATATCTGATCTGATCGTTGTATGAAATTCAAAAAAGTATTCAGTGATATGTAAAGTTTTATTAATTTCCTATTCTTTTTGACAAAGTGATATTTTCATTGAAATTTTGACAAAATTTCATTTAGCTAAATGAAATTTGAATAAATATTTAACAAAAATTAAAATAAAATTTCAGAAAGTTGTGACTGGGAATTGGATACTTTATTGGGTGAATTATCAGCATTGGAACAGCAACTTACAGTTGGTGGTGACCAGGCTCTTCTTGGCCTTCCAACTCTTCCCACTTCTGTTTCTCGAGAAAGTAGTCTCAATCAAAGTAAAAGAAATAGCACTCTTTTAACTTCTGTTATGCAACATAATGATACAAAAAGGTTAGTAATTTTATCAATGTTTCAATTTTTTTTTAATTTATTTATAAATTTTGTTTGTTTTTTTTTTTTCTTTTTCCTTCTAAAATTTTTGCTTTTTTTCTCCGAAAAACTTTCAATACTTCGCTTAAAATATTGAAAATAATTTCAATGAAAGTATAAATGATATTATCATTTAGTACAATTTTTAATTAATGTGAAAATTTTTTTTCTTAAAAAATCGATCGAAAAGTATTTTAATGGATTAATTAATTCCTTTTTTCTTATAATGCATAAGTTCTTATCATTTCTTTTTTTATACTTTAATGAAGTAAATTTTCCCAGAATTTGAAATTACTTCTTATTCAATATAATTTCCTAGCTTTTTATCACTTTTTTTTCTCTCAAAGATATATTTTAATTGAAAGATTCACTGGCTGTAATTAATAATAATAATAATAATAATAATAATAATAATAATAATAATAATAGTAAATAATGATAATAATAATAACGACAGTAAATAATGATAATAATAATTATTACAGAAATTAGCAGCAGATGTTTTCCTCTTGCGCAAAGTAAAGAAAACTAATCAAAGCTGTTCATCTGATTCCTTATGCTAGCTAAAAATCAATTTATTAGCCTACAATCTCTTTTGCTGGCCTAATTACTACAAATTAGATTTACAGTATTTCTCTTCTTGAACATTAGCAGCAAATAGAGTTAAAATGGATTAACTCTTCTAGCAAAATATTATTTTATTATCTGTGATAATAAATTCAATGATATTTTGTTTTAATTACCTAAAATAAAATTTCCATTTTTTCTTTTCAAATATCTTTTTGATATATTTTTTCAAATATATTTTTGCAATGTTATTAACACTTTCAAATTGTTTAACTATTTCTAATCATTCTAATTAATTTTAACAATATAAAATTTATTGGAATAAGTAAAAAAAAAAAAAATTTGAAGAATAGTACGATGAGAGAAGATTTGGAATGATTTTTGTTTGCATAATTGCATGATATGCTTTTTTAGCATTTCAATTCTAATAAATAAAAAAAAAAAAAGAAATAATAATATGGAAATTTTATTTGATGAAATCAAATGTTTTATAAAGTATTTTCGCTAAAAAAAAATATTTTATTTCTTAAAAAAGAAAATAGTATATTATAAATTTGTGATTTTTTTTTCTTTTTCTGCTCATTAATCATTTTCATAAATGATTACTGAAATGGAAATAAGAAAACGAAAACCAAAATTTATCAGAGAGAGAGAGAGAGGGAGGGAGGGAGGGAGGGAGGGAGGGAGAGAGAGAGAATAATTAAGGCAATGTATAATCATTGTTAAATTGGATATATTAGCATATTAATCTTATTCGAAAAAATATTAGTAATATACCTGTTGCTGTGTTATTTTTAATATCAGAATGAAAAATTTTTAATTTCAATTTAAAATTTTAATTCAGTAGGACATAGGGAAAAGAAATTCAAGTATTGTCATTGAGAAATGTATTATCATATATTAAAATATCTCAAAACTTATTATAAACATTTGTAACTAAAAAAAAAAAGGAATGTATGAATGGATTAGTATTAATTACCTGTAAAATTACCTTTTCATCATAATAATTAAAAAATTGTCACGCTGAATTCATCTTTGAAGGTTAACCTATATTTATTTCATTTTTATTCTTTGCAGAATTGGTCATCAATCGAATGCACAACATTCATTCTCCTATCACGATAATTTTATGCACAGCTCAGGTACTATCGGAGCTGTGATGTCAACCGATTGTCCAAGTCCTGATCGTGATTCCGCTTTTGGTGACTCATCCAGTACCGAATCTCGAAACAATAATCGAAATTGCAGAAATTCAGCTATCTCATGTTCCGATAGCTGTCGTGGCTCACTTAATACGCCAAGTCCAATTCAACAGGTTCAATTATTTTATTTTATTTTTTGATTTCACTTTATTGCTTCCTTTTCTTTACATTTATTCGTTTCTCTTTACAAAAAATACAACTGAAATATCGAAAGATTGTAAAATAGGATCGGAGTGATATTTGAATAAATGATTCTTGAAAGAAATGAACTTTCTTGATTAAGAAAAAAAAAATCAAATCAATATTTTTCAAATTCTCAATTCTACCCTTTATAACTCATTCAGTTTCAAATTTTGTATTATATATAATCACATGCGGTATTTTACAATAGTTTCCGTAATTTTACAACTTTTTTTTCTCTCTTCCATCTCCTATTTTTAGCTGCGCAAATAGTAATTTTCTGCACACATATAAAAAAGAAAACAACTAATAAAGCACAGATGAGATGACCTTCAGGTAATGAAATTTTTTTTTTTTTCATCGATGTAAAAGTGATATGTGATTATGACAGGTCATTCGATGTTTTGTGACAGGTCATTCGATGTTTTGTTATGATTTCAATGACGTGTTTATTGTGTTGAAGGATATACCTTTTAACCTGAATATTACCTGAATTTGTGGAATGAATTTCTGAACTGATGATATTTCTTTATTATTTCTTTTTTTTTTTTGTTTTGATAATTTCACATATATAATATATCCATCCATTAGATTTTTATCTTTTAAATCTAGATAAATTTTTTTTTTTCTTAAGATAATTTTCTTTAAATTTCTTATTGCTTTTTGAATTTGAATCAGATTTCTTAATTTCGCTCAATATATCGATTGCTTTCCTAACATAAATTCATAATTTAAAACATATAAGCATGTAATTTATTTTATAATATTCAAAGTTATTTTTCACTTCAGATAGTTATAAGAAGGAGAAGAAGAAGCAATTATTTAGTTTTAATAATAGCTTTATTCATTTATAATCTAATTTCATTATAATTTAAATTGATAAATAATCTAAGAATGAAATGATCTGATAAATGTTATCATCAACTGATCTGACATATTTATCAGTGCTGAAAACATATGCCATAACAAATGGATGAATAATCATATTAATGCATCAATGAATTAATTATTTTCAAATGTTAATAAACAGATAATAATATTATGCAAATTTTTTTTTTCTCTTTTTTTGCATACAATTAAAAGTATTGATAGTTTCTGAATTGCTAAACTGGAAGAAAGATGAAAGAAAGCAAAAAAAAAAGAAAGAAAGAAAGAAAGGAAAAAAAAATGAATCATCGATACTTATTCTAAAGTGTACAAAAATTCATTCAACTATTTTCATTATCAATTCGTTCTTCTCTCTAACAAAGAATTTTGCAAAAAAAAAAGAGAGGGAATTTTTCTCCTTGTTTACTCTTTCAACTACTATAAACATTCTTCTTAACCGTTATACAACAAATGCTTAAAAATTTTCTTACGCAAAAGTACTTGCAATTATTTCTTATTGTCCCATTTTTTTTTTTTTTTTTTTAAGTTATCATTTTTAAACTTTATTAAATTTTACTAAAAATGACCCTTTTATATTCATTTCAGTTATTCATTATTAACTATTCATTTCATCCTAATATCTTTACTAACGAACAAATAAAAGTCTTAAATTACATTATAAATTCTTTAGCAAATAATACCAGATAAGAAAGATGATATTTAAAATATAATAACTATTATTTATCAATTATTTTCATTTTTATTTATAATTTCTAAATATCTTACATTATAATTTTGCATATTTCAATAATTTCAAGAGACAAAAAAAAAAAAAAAAAACTAATTTCTAAAGAGAAAAAGTTTTTAAAATTTTAAAAGTTATTTATAGAGTAGGAGAGATAAAAATACAAAACAATCAATAATGGAACGATTTGAATTATTTAATGATTATTATTTCAATGATTCATCACAAATGCTTTAAGCATTACGGAAAAGCTAATGAAAAGTAAACGTAAACCGGAATAATGGCACAGACATTTTGTATTAAATTTCCTTTTTTCATCCATTTTTTTTCCTTCTTTTCAATCCATAAATGTATATTACATACATTTGTGAGATTACATAACCCATTTTATCGGACATTGGGTACTTAACAATTTCCTTCCCGCGATTTAACCGCGATAATAGCTAAAATACATTCATCCCAAAAAGAACAAAAAAAAAAAAACTATTCCAATCTTTCTATGGTATGTTGTTATGTTTTATTAATTTTAAAAATTTAATTTTAAATTCTTTCTAAAAACTTATTAAAAAAAAAAGGAAACAATCAATAAGTATGAAATAAAACATTTTTATGTTTTAATGAAAAAAAAAAAAAAAACAATAAGATAAAATAAAAATTTATTTATCTAAAATAATGAAATATTTCATTTTTAAAATTAATTTTTTCTTTTCTAGCTTTTATTTGATTTTTATGAGTTTTCTAGTTTTCTTTTCTTTTTTTTTTTTATTTCCTTTTATTTTAATTTCATTCATTTTTTGATTTTAATTATTGGATTATTTAATAAACGAATAAGGCATTTTGATTATGAATGGATAACTGATAAGTTACACACACACACATTAATTACTTATTTAATTGGATTTCATCTAAATGCCATCTTTTCTTTGACATAGCTTTGACAATTTGTTATTCACAACAAATAGCACAATCGATAAGCATATTTTAAGGCATATTCTTTGGAATAAAATATTAGAAAAATATGAAGAATGTTATAAAATCTAATTGAATACTTCAAATTTTATAAAACCTTTTTTTTTTTTTCTTTTTACGGAGTTAAATTTTATCAATTTTACTGATTTGATAATATAAATCATTTTGACCTTTATAGTATCATTAGAATGCTGTCATAAAATGATTTGATTTGATAAATCTTTATCGTATCAATTCCGTCATTTAATACTTTTTCATAATTGAAACTACTTTTTAATGATCTAAAAAGATTATTTGTTTTTTCAAATTGATAAGTTTAATTTGAAAATTAACAATTAATCATTAGAGTATTTTCTTTTTTTGATTCTAATTTTATTGCCAAATTAACAATTGAAAAAAAAAAATAAAAAATAGATCTGATAAATTCTTGATCACTTTATTTCATCCTTAATTTGTTAATTGAAAATATTAGCAGATATTTTGAAAGCTTATTAATTTTTGATTTTCTCTGATCTTTTCATTTCATACATTTTTCAAATTTCGAAATGCAAAAAAAAATTTTTTTTTCCAATTGTTTTACTCATTAATTATCTTACCTGTTTGCTTATATCACAAAGATAATTTCAGGCTTCTCCAAATCAATCGTCGACTTCTTCCGCTTTAGAGTCCTCTCAACTTCGTCATCACCACCACCACCACCATCACCAACAACAACAACAACAATCACAACAACAACAACAACCTACTCGTCCACTTACTGCTAATGAGATAAAAGCGGCTAAGATACGTGAAGCGTTAGAAAAAATGCGTGAAGCAGATATTAAAAAAATTTACGTGAAATTTTTCATCGATGATGGCTCATCAACTATTTCATTATTAATCGATGAAAGGTGGACAGTTGCTGAATGTATCCGTCGAATTGCAACAAAATTAAATGTTCCATTAAGCGAACACCATGCTATTGTCGAGGAGTATCCCGAGCTTTACATCAGTAACTTTTACTTTTACTTATTCTTTTCATATATTTATTTATTAACTTTAATCGTTCTCTCAAACTTTAATTGTTTCTCAATTTACGCATAATGAATTGTCCGAGTTCTCCGAGACGAGAGTATAACTTCATAATTTACTTTATATTCATTTCATAATGAGCGTAATTTAATTATTATTATTCTTTTTTTTTTTGAATTAATGAATGTTGTATATTTCATTGTTAAAATTAAATCATTTACTAGCAAATAAAATAAAATTAATTCAAATATGATTAGATGAAATATAATTAAATGTTAAAAGTAATTTGGTATTAGTTAATATGTGGATTTAAGTATACGTTAGATTACTACAAAATTTATTTCTCTTATTTATTGCTTATTTTAATTTTTTTTAAAAAATGTAAATAAAGAATAGACATTAAAGATAAGTATAAGTTAGATTAGTACAAAAATCATTTATTCATTGCTTACTTTAATACTTTGAAAGAATGTAAATGAAAAATAAACAAATTTTAATAGTTGTTTACTTTTCCTTGTATATTCCTTGTTGTACCACAATTTCAATGCTATAACACTTTGTTTATATTATTTTAGAACGAATCTATGAGGATCATGAATATTTAGTGGAAAATATTATGATGTGGACATTAAATTCTCAAAATAAATTATATTTTACTCGACGTTTGGATAAATATTCATTTCTGGATCGACCGGAAGAATTTCTGGTAACTGAGAAAAACATTGATACATTGGTACATGGACCACCGTCACCGAATACAAAAAGACATGTAATTAGGGTAAGTTTCTATTTTTAAATTACGGAAATATTTCATTTAATTTGGGAATTTTTTTTTTTTTTTTTTTTACGAAAAAAGAAACGTTAGAAGTATGAATATAATAAAATAGTAGATAAAATGAACAAAAAAATCCTTTCCCATACATTAGGGTAATTGAAAATAATCTTTAAGGAATAATTTAATTTTTTTTTTTTTTAAAATACATTAATCAGAACAAATGTGATATGATAGCATATAAAAAAAAATATTTAAAACATATTTTTATATCAATTTGTCTTCTTAATTTTTCAGTGAAATAGTCTAACGATCATTTTAGAAATGATATTTGTCAAACAAAAATATCTCTTAGCAATTAAATTAAAAATATTTTTATTAATAATATTAGAAAACAGGCAAAAATAACAAATATTTAATAAAGCAAATAATTTTTGTCTCCTATCACTTATTAGTATCATAAAAAGAAGTATTAAAATTACAGTGGAAGTAATAAAAAATAGGAATGATAGAGGTAAAAGAAGCACAAATGATACTAATAAAAAAGGAAAATGAAATAGGAATTTAAACAAAGCCAATAAAAAAGAAAATAAAATAGGAATTTAAATAAATAAACTAATTTGATTCATTGTGACAACAATAAATTGATTATTCTCACTAATAAACTTTGTCTTTATTTTTTTGATTTTTTTTTTTAAAAATTCATTTGACGTAATTAAGTAGTACATGATATCCTATTGATATTTTGCTTCTTAAGTATTTAGGTATTTATTTGTATTGCTAATTTATTTTTGATGATAATTAGTTCAATCTTAAAATATTCCCAACGCTATTTATATTTAAATGTAGTAGTTAAATAATGTGTTTCTTTAGTCAAAATTATTTTTTTGTTGTTGTATTTTTAGTATTTAAATATAGTAATAACTTGTTTTGTTAAAAATGACAATATTTATGGTAGAATTTTTTTTAGGAAAATAAAATTATATAATTTAATTTTTTTTCTTTTTTTTTTTTGAGGTATAGGTAAGGATTATAAATTGTGAAACCTGTGTAAAATTTTAGTTACAAATAAATTTTCTTGTATTTTTCGTGAACTGCAATTAGCAATCTTTAATTGTCCGCAATTATATTCAAATTTATTGCAGAGTATAAGTAAGTGAAAGTTACAAGTTAGGTAATCTGCTATCAATGATATATTTGCATAAGATATCAGAATGTAGGATATATTGCGGTTAATTAATATTAATGATTGTTTGATAGCAATGAAATATTATTCATGATTTCAATTTTAAAATTTAAACAAAAAAGAGAACATTTTGTTTACTCTCAAATGACTAAATTAACCATATTGTTAATAATACAATTGATAAATGTTATTGCTAAAAAGATTAATTAATGAATGATTAATTTGATAATAATATTGCACAATTTATCATATCCAATATTTCAGGAATTTTTTGAAGGTGACAATGTACAACCACCAGAAACAGAAGGTTGGCTATTTTTAAAATCTGATGGCAAAAAATCATGGAAGAAACATTTCTTTGTGCTCCGTTTATCCGGTCTTTACTACTGTCCAAAGGGTAAAAGTCGTAACTCAAAGGATTTGCAATGTTTAATGAATATGCAAAATAATCAAATTTATACGGCCACTGACTGGAAGAAGAAATATAAGGCACCGTCCAGTTATGGTTTTGCAATCAAAGTATGCTAATATTTAAATTATTTCATGCATTTTTAAAATTTTTAAATTTCAAATTTTGACATTTTTTAAAGAATTGTTTAAAATGTAAAACTAATGTGATAATTTTATAAAAATTTTGAATGAATGATTTTTTGATTTATCGAATGCAAAATGATTGAATTTTTAATTGTTTATTTTCATTTTGACACATTTCTTTAATCAAATTGCATATGTTCGCTTTTTTTTTCTCTCTCTCTCTTCGCTGGAATCAATTATAGTCATAATAAGATATTTTTGATTCACAAAAAGATATATGTGTTTATCTGTAATTACTTAAAAAATTTTTGATCTCATTTAAAAAATTAAATCATATAAATTTTTTATTATCAAATTTATGATATCAATGATTTTAGCATCAAATTAATGATATCGTTGACCTTTCAGCATCCAAAAATTCAAGTGAAAGCATCAAAATATATCAAATATATTTGCACCGAAGATGCGTTAACATTTCACAAATGGATGGTTGCTTTGAGGATTGCGAAGGTTACTTACTTATCATTTTGATAGTATTACTTTCATTATATCTTATGTCACTCGCCCTCTCTCTCTCTCTCTCTCTCTCTCTTTATAATTCTTCTTTACAATCTTATGAATTTTTGAAAAGGATTTTTCGTTTATGTCATGAAAAATAGATGTTAAAATGAATAATTTTGAAATGCATAAAAAGAAAAGATAAAAATGCAAAGTAATTTCATGACAGATTATTTGTTACTTTATAAATAAACAATTACTTATTGTATTTCGGACACAGTAAATTTCATAGCATTCAAATTCATAAAATTATCATATCACATATTTTTCATTTTTTTAGAATGGTCAAAATTTATACGAGAATTATATAGAAATGAAAAAACAACAGCAAAAAGAATCAAATGGTGGTATAATTCAACCTGTAAAAGTTGGAATTCCTCAAATTTCACCTGTTGATTCAAATCGTATATCATTTGTTGAAATGCGAAAAAATAACATACGACAATGTCAAGAGCAAGATCCATCATCTTTGCTAAATTTAAATCGTGATTTACGAACTCCAATTACATCAAGATTATCAGTTGGAACAAGTAATGATGAAAATTCTTCATCACATCAAAATAGTATCATTTTTGATCAGGTATGTATATTATTTCAAGTATTTTACTAATTTTTTTTTTCTTATTTTTTTTTAAAAAAAAAAAATTTATTTAATTTTAAAATATTTTCAGTGTGATGATATTATAACGGGTACAATCAAAAGAGCACCATGCGATATAATGCTTAATAATAGACAATCAACGATGACTGATCATCGAAGTTCAAGCGATGGCATTGCTTCGCCAAGTGGTCGTAGTGGCGGTACCGCCGAGAGTGACAGCGATGAGGAGCAATTTCCGCCACTACCTCCAACTGTAGCTGCTACTATCTCTCACGGTGATAATTCTCATAATAGTAAGAATTTTAAATGTAAAATTTTTAATTGAATCATTAATGGCTCAATTTAATTTACTTTACTGATCCTTTTTTTTAATTTACTGACCAGAAGTTTTTGTTATTTTATTTTTTTATTTTACTGACCAGAAGTTTTTGTTATTTTATTTTTATAATGATAATATAATTTTCTGATAATAATGATAATATAATTTTCTGATAATAATGATAATATAATTTAATGAGAATTCAATTTTTTTAAATTTTCATTTAATCATTTTAAATGATTAAATGAAATAAAATAATTAAATAGAAGATTTTGGGTTTTATTAGAAAATTTTTAAGAATATAAGTAATCTATTGCATATCATTGGTTTATATAATTTGATTATTTAGCTTTCTTTTTTTTTTTCTCTCTTTTTAGATGTAAATAGAAATGAAGTTGACAGTGCAATAGTAAAATCAACAACAAAAATTTGTTTACCCAAACAACAACAACAACAACAACAACAGCAACAGCCAAGTACTAGTCATATGATTGCTACCCGATATGGTAATGGAATTTCACCAACCTATGCTAATGGTAATTACGTATCAAACGTGAAATCAAACGTTATGGCACCAATACCACCAGCAAAACCACAATTTATTATGCAAAATGAACGAAATAGCAATCAAATAATTACAACTGAAGTATTTTTCTCTCTTTTTTTCATTCTTTCTATTTATAAAAATAAATTAAAATTTTAAAATTAAAAAAAAAAAATATTTTCTTTTAATTAGAAAAAGATGTTTAAAAACAGAAAAAAATATAAATCTGAAATTATTTCACATTGAAAGAATCAATAAATTATACTATTTATTTACAAATCGACCAATTTCTTGTACTATTAATCTTTTTTTTTGCGCTCCCTTAAAGAGAAATTTTTTGGCGCATTTTTCCCTCTCTTACAAAAAAGAAAAAATTATATCAATTAATCTTTTAAATACTTAATTAATTATTTGGAAAAGTTTTGAACTTTTTAATGCATAGAATTATTATAGTTCTGACTAAGAGATACTATATTATCAGTATTTATTGTTTCAGTATTTATTGTATCAGTATTTATTGTATGAGTATTTATAGAGCAATATAACATTGGCAAATAATAATCAACATCAACATCATCATCATCATCAATTTGGAATAAATCCCTCACAAATATCGCTAACATCACCATCAAAGAAAATACCACCGCCACCACCACCGAAACGTTCCGATACCACTAAACTTCAATCGGTATTTTATTTATCATTTTTAATTCAATCTCGGATTAATTCAATTTTGATAAATTTAAAATACTATTACTTTATGTTTTCCATTTGTAATTAAAATTTTCATTACTTGAACCTATAAAATAGCATTTCAAAATATGGATTAACATAATAGCTAAGGTTAATGAACTTTAAACTTTGGAAAATATTTAAAAATTTTAAAATCTCATAATAAACTTCAAATTTGAGAAAATATTTTAAAAGTTTCAAATTTCATTCATCTATCAGTAAAATATTGGGCTAATGTTTCTTTTCTTTCTTTTTTTTAAATTTCCTATTAAGGGATTTTTTCACTCGAAAAATTAATTAGTTCTAGAATTATTTTTGAATCAATTTATTTATTTTTTTTTTCAGATGAATACTGAAGCTTTACATTCAGAACTTGAAATAGCAATGGCAAGGAGATTACAAAAAATTGGACAACTTTAGTTTATTCATTTCTTTTTCAACAATACAATCAATTACTCTTAATATTATTGAATTTTAATTAACAATTTCAACAAAATTTTTTTTTTATTTATTTTTCTACACTACACAAACAGGTGGTAGTGATAGTTTGTTTTGTTTTTCTGTTATCATATCTAATCTTTTATTTTCTTTTCTTTTATTTATTTTTTTTTCCTTTTGTGTCATATGGCATATGGATGAGAAAATGTCTTAAAGTTTCTTTACTGAAATTTTTTTTTCGTAATGAACGATTAATTAGACAATGAATGGTAATAACTAAAGTTAATTCGTTAAACTTTTTTTTTTTTGCTACCTATAAATAATAAAACATTTAGCAAATATTTTTGTGTTTTTTATCAATTACTATAAATTTAACTTAAAATTTTATTAAAATAGATAAAATAATTAAGGGAAGAAAAAATATTTTATGCTACACAAATAATACAATCTTATGATTTGAAAACTTTTTGACATTTTCATTTCTTTCTCAGTTATATCAAAATAATAATAATAATATTTTCTGTTTTCATTTTTTTTTTTTTTACATTAATATACTGCTCATAATAAAATTTTTCAATATTTTTCAAATGTAATTTACCATTGCAAAAATTACGATAATAATGAATGAATGAATAAATAAATAAATGGAAATTATGCCTTTATTATTTTCTAAGCAATTTTTTTCCTTATCACTTATCATTTTATCATGAAATATCTTATTTACCCTTATCTGAGTGAATATTTCTAAATTTATACAAATAAAATGTCCACAAATAATGATGAAATGGTTTATGGCATGTAATAGTATCATTCTTGTTCAGTAACTTTGAATAGAAAAGGTATCTACCATATTAGGGGAAGGAAGGTAATTGGTACCTGCTATGAGGTAGCTTTTTTACAATTACCGGTGTCTTTTTTTCTTTTTGTTTTCATATATATATATTTTACTTGTTGATTTTGTACATAAAAAATTTGAAATTTTTATATTATTGTCTATTCCAAATTAGAAATCCATATTTATATTCTGTTTTTTTGCAAATTATCCGTACTGTTTTTGATGATTGAAAAGTAAAGCTTGAAAAATTTATTCGTACGCTGAAATTAATCTGAAATTAGTTAAATATTCCGGAATGTTTAAAAACTTTACTCCAAGATACTGTATCAAATATCCGTCTTTTTTTATCATTCAATTGCTTATTGATTTGTTTTTTTTTTCTTTTTGTCACTAAAATTCATTAATAATTATGTTGTATCAGTTTTCTCTTCCATGAACTAAATAAAACAAATTTCATTGCTACGAATTTTATTTCAAAATCATAAAGGTTAAAGGTTATTGCATTATCGAATAAAAAATCTCTAGAGCTAGTAGTAACATTTGTTTCGCTAATAAAGATTGCAATGTTTTAATAAAATGAATCTTATAATTGGCATTAAATATTTATTTCAAATAAATTTTAAATAGCAAATGAAAAATGTTGTTAATACTAATTAAGGAGTCAATTTAGATAGATTATTTAGCTAACAAACAAAAATAAAAAGACAAAATCTGTAAGAACCATAAATTCATTTCACATTATGTGAAACAAATAAAAAAAATATGAAATTTTTTTTTTAAATGGAAAAAAAAGAAAATTTCATATGTGAATAATTAAGGAAGATGGAAAATAAAAGAAAGAAGGAGGAGTAATACTTTAATATGAAATGTAGCAAAAGCATTAATTAAAATAAATAGCAAATTGACATGGCAGAGGAACAAATACGATAAATTCTACATTGAAGCATAAGATGGTGACACTGTGACAGTTTAAATAAATATCTAAAATGAAAACTTTGTTGATTGTAATATACTTTGAATTATATTTTCATAAATTTATAGCAATCAAAAAAAAAAAAAGATTTTAGTTGTGGTAAATATTTAGTTGGCAATTTGTAAAATTTGTCGCATAATGCTTTCCTAATTTAAAATTCAAAAATGTTTTCGTAAAATATGAATACAATGAATAAAATTCGTAAGAGTTATTATAAAAAGAAATAAATGACGTCTTTTTTTTTCTTTTTTTTTTGCGCGAAATATTCAATTAAAAAAAAAAAAAAAACTTTTTTGCATCATTAAATTTGATTCAAAGAGTTAAAATTTTATTTCGGATTCTAACAAAATGTTGAAAATATTAAAAGTTTGCATTTTAAATCATAAAAGAAAAGATAAGACTATATAATAATATATGATAGAAAGAAATTGATCAAATTTAAGGATATATTTTAGAAATAATTTCACTTTATTTTATTTATTTTTTTTTTCTTATTTTTCAAATGATTTTTATAAGATATTAAAAATGATAAAAAAATTGAAAATTAAATACAGTAAAATAAACTTTTTTTTTTTTTTTGAGCTTATACATCTTTTTCCATTCATAAGCTATAGCTATTTGAGCTAATAAAGAAAATTTTTCAAAAAAAAAAAAAAAGGACAAAATTGGCACTGCAAAAAAAAATTAAGAAAATACTGTACGAAAAAAAAAAAAGAAATAATAATGCAAATTGTTTCTTCAGCTTTTAACGTCTACGATCCGTTTCTGTTTCACGTTTGTAACTACATTCTTGTGATTGCTCCCTGAAAAAAAAAATTTGAAAGCAAATATTTTTGATTAAGAGAAATTAAACTGTTTAAGTTTAAGGAATAAACAAAACAGATAGAAATTAATATAAATTGAGAGATTTTTTTTTTTCCCTTTTTTTTTCACTTAAATATTAAATAATTTTAAGAAATAAACGAATAGCAGGAAATTTTTAAAATGATTTTGATACAATTAACTATTCTTAATTATTACTTTTATGAATGTTCAATATTTAAGTATTAATTATTATTGCTGTATTTGCTTACTTATACTCAGTGGGATTTCCATCTTTATTGATGCGACGACCACTGCTACTCTTAACTTCTCGATCATAAGTCTCATAACCACCGGGTATTTGCTCATGACGATGATCACGCTCATACATATTACCACTATTATTGGACATATTTGGCAGTGGCATTAGCAGAGAATCACGAAATTCATTCTCCAATCGAGCCATATCTTCATTACGTCTAAATAAAACTCCCACGTTTACGTTAAGTGAAAAAGTCATTAAATTTTGTAAAACCGTTGAAATTAGACCTCAAAAAAGGAAAGAAATTATTAAATGAAAAATAGAAATTAAATTTCATTCATAAATGAAATTACTTAACTAACCGTCTGATCGATTGTGAAAAGCCACGTCCCTCATCCCAGTCTGCGTAACTTCGACTCTTCGTAATTGGCCTGTAGAAGTCATCGGATGGTGCTCTTGCACGATGTGGTGGCGGTATTGGTGCATCACGATCACGAGGTAACGTTGGTGGAAATTCAACAAAAGGACCGCCACTTTGTTGACTACCACGACGATAGGATGATGAACGATGATAGTCACCGTCATAGTTGAAAGCTGTACCCGAATCATATACATCACCTTTAAAATTAAAATTAAAATTAAATTGTTTCTTCATTGATTATTACTAACTTACTTCAACAACCAAATAATAATCTTTAATTAGTATCTGACCTAGTTTTAACTTCAATTTTAGAAGCAAAAATGACTGCTAATTAGTTTTTTTTTTCTTTTTTTTATTTGAATACTAATTAAGATTTGCGACAATAATTAGCATAAAATTTTAAATGAAATATAAAGTAGCTAACGAGTCGAAAGACTTTTATGAATTCGTCCATTTCGATTCGATGAGCTATGGTGTACTTCCCGAATATCACCGTTCGGATTATAACGTAATTCTCCACGTCTTAAACTATCGGATAATGACGAACCGTAACGTGCATTTGAAAAGCTTCCGTTTGTTATCAGACGTCCGTCATCATAATAACGCTGTAATATTTTCATAGAAGAAAAAAAAAAAAAAAAAAAAAAAAAAACCACTAAATTTAATTTTAGCTGGGAAATTTTGCAAAATGAAAAATTCATTATTTTATTCAAGCATATCTTTCTTTCTTTCTTTCTCTTTCTCTCTCTCTCCCTCTCTCTTTCGTTATTTTTCCATGACAACAACTTTTAAATTATTTCAAATAAAGTATACTCCATCTTTTTCACGACGTGTCGTTACAGATCGCATATAACTTTCATGTGCAGGTAAATAACCATTTTGTCGTGATAATGAATTACTACGATAACCTAAAAATTGAAACTTTAATTATTTTATGAAATTTTTCAAATGAAACATTGATAATTTGGATTATCTGAAATTAGTTCAATCAATAACTCACAATCTATATAATTCTATTCAAAAATTCATTTATCAAATTTTTTGTAAATTAATTCATTTTATAGATTAAAGAAGAAAAGAAAAAAAGAAAAACAATGTAATCAGTAATCATACAAATATAAAAAATGCTTGATTTGAAGTACTGCAAGCATTTCAAATGAATTTGCTAAATTTATTTGATAAGAATGGATAAACTTGATAGACATATATTATAATTGAAATTCCAATTCCTGTGATATCAATAATTCAATTAGATTTTTGATCTATTTTTTGTCAAGATCAACTGACTTTTGTTATCATGATCTTAATTAATACTTAATCTATTATTATCTAATTGTACTTAGGTAAACATAACAAATAAAAATCCCAGAAAAATTTTCAATAAATTTAAATTTCTCAGAAAGTAATGATGATCTCCTATTATTAAGTGAAATAGGACAGATCGTATAATTTATACTACAGAATTGCATAAGAATTAAAATTAGAATTATAAATGATACGACACAAAAAAGCAACAATCATTTCAAAAATGTGCAATTAAAAATATTTATTTTACAGTGTATGAAAAAAGCCTTTACAATAATTTCTAGGCTAACATTCAATTTAATATAACTAATTTATCTTAGCTAAATTTATCCTTTCACATTAAGTTAACTTTACAACCATAAATTAATTTGCTTTTATTTTTACAAAATTCTACATTTCTAACAACTAATTCATATTTCAATGCAAGATTAAATATTTAAAAAAAAAAAAAAGAAAAATTGAAATTTGAAGATTACTTTACCTTCATCACTATATCCATTATATGCATAAGTTTCACCTCTGCCACCGCGGTGCTGATGGTGATAACTTCGATGAGAGGTACGATTTTTCTTTTCTTTTTTCTCTTTCCGTTGCACACGTCTTTCAATTTCTTCAATTCGTTTATGCTCTTCCACTCTTTGTATTGTTTCTGTTACTTTTGGCTTCTTAATTATTCACTTTTCAAATTGTTAACAATGATAAGAAAAAGGAATGGAAAATGGGAAAAAAAAATTCAAAAAGAGAAATTTGAAATTTAAAACTAAATTTATAATTGAAAGATTGTCATTAACCGCTGCAGCAATTCGTCGTTCATCCCACTGATCAGTTGTTCGAACTACCTGTCGTGGTTCCTCTGCATACATCATTTGATCCTTTGTTTCAAGCTCACGACGCTTCATAATACCTCGAGGCTTATCATCCTAAAATTGTTGAATATTATACTTAACTCTTAATTAAAGGCAATCAAATTTAAATTTAAACTTTAACAAATGACAATAAAAAATTGTGGAAATTTCTGAAAACTTTTGGATCTTTTACAACAATGGAAATTATATACCTTAATAATTCCATAATATGACACTTTGATACAATTATATCAGATATCAAATATTTTGATAAAAATTTACCTCCATTTACTATCGTTGAATGAAGAATGATAAATTAATGATAGTTAGAGGGAACGAATTGGAGGAAAGTTTTTCAAATGTTAAATATCATGCTAACATGCATATAAAATGATTGAAAAAATGAAATACAAATAAAGAAAGCAATCTGAAAATTTTAACTGCGAAATTAGATCACTTTTAATGAGTCTTATTTTGGTATTTTCCTGATAAATCATTTGTTATCACCTTATCTGTTATCATAAATGACCAGTAGAATGTAACATCAGACATAACTATCATTTCCAATGACTAGGATATGGTTTAGTAATTTTTAATGGAAATTTTATTGAACATATTTTGATAAAAAATATATTTAAAAGAAAAAGGAATAAAGAGGAAAATATATTCTAAATTAAAGACTACAACTGCAATTAGATCTTTTAATGAGTCTTATTCTGGTATTCTCCTGATAAATCTTACCTTATCATTCATGATAAGCATACGTTTAGTAAAAATAACTATGAATAATTTTGATGAAAATTCATCAAATTTAATCCAATTTTTACGAGCAATGACAATTTTTCTTAACGATCAATGTTTGTTATAAGTTAAATAAAAATGCAATAAAGTGGACGAAAAAAAAGAAAAAAATAAGGTGCATGGTATGAAAATGTATGACAAATTTAAGAAAAAGAGATATTAAAAAGATTTGTTAAATGTTAAATTTTTGAATTATAATTTGAATACATTCAGATGTATCAAATGCTTCGTCTCATTATTCTTATTTAAATTAAATTTTTTAGAAAGAAAAGTAGTATGGATTTCATTGATTTGTGAAAGATTTGAAATGTATTAAGAAATTTCAATAAATTAGAAAATAATACAAAGAAACATTTCAGCTGATCTCTTAATGATACAGAATTTTGATAAGTTTGGATTCAAGTTTTAGTTTTTCGGGATAAATTGCGCCTCTTGAATGTGCAGATGGAATGGGCGCAATAAGCCTAACTAATGCTTGCAAAAATAATACTATTGAAGATACCTTAATCTTAATCAATGTTCCACGTGTATCACTTTCCAGTGTTGGCAACGAAGCGTAACGTTCGATGCGTCTCTCGAAATTCTCGTTGAATTCACGCGTCATTGTGGACTGCGCTGAATCCGTTACGGGACCCAAACGTGACGGCATATAGGGCCAATGTTGTTTCTCACTCTAAATTTACTTACTTATCAGATCGCTGTTTGTTAAGAAAACTTTCTAAGGTATCAAAAATCAATTCAGAAATTACTCTTATTATCGATTAAACATTAAATTGGTTAAAAAATCGTCATGTTTTTATTTTTTTTTTAAAAAAATGAAAATAAATAAAAAAAGAAGTCCAAAAGAATTGAAATAATTTAGTGCATCGGAATGCATTGTTAATTTCATAAATTTATTTAACAATCATAATTTTAGATTAAAAATTTTTGAAATATCATAAAAAAAAAAAAATTGAATTTAGTTAGAGCAAAATTTTTAATGTTCCCAAAATTTTCCCACAAAATTAACAAAAAGAAATATCTTCAACAGAAAAAAAAAGGAAAATAACTTCTAGAAATTCATATAAATAAGAAAGTTTCTAGACTAATCTTCGATCAACATTAATTAATAAAGACAAAATCATCTTATGATATAATTCCATATGAAAAATAATTTCTATATAAAACGAGAATTCACTCTAAACTTCTACTACTAATATGAAATAGAAACTCAAATGTGTACGAAACAATAATTTATATAAAAATTATTTTAGAAATTTGACCGATATCCAATTCTCTTATATTTCATGACTAAGACCTGCTGATAAGAAATAAACTCCTAATCAATGGAAATTGTAAATGAAGCAGTAAATTGATAATAACAGAGAGATGGAGAGAGAGAGAGAGAGAGAGAGAGAGGGAGACCGAATGTTTGAAATAATAATAAAACCTGTTTGAAATAATTTGGTATAGCTATTATTATTATTATTATTATTGCGTACACCTATAACCAATTTTAATTGTTAAAATTTAGTACCAAAATACTATCAGTTGCGCATTTTATATATATATGTAAAGGCTTTAAACTTTCGATTTTTTGACTTTCTAATAGAATGAAATTAAGTTAATCTGTTATTTTGACTATATTTTGCTTTCTGTCACATAACTCATACTTTAATACTTTAAACACATCGATCACATAACTCATACTTTATGAAAAATCTTTATACGATATATAAGTTAATATAAATTAACTATCACTAAATTTAAATTTAGATTCCGAGAGTTATCACTGGGTTCTCGAATGATATATGCATATAATGATCGAAAAGCTACTAAATTATGATCAGTACTTTATAAGTGAAAGTGCTGTAAATACTATTGTTATATGTAAAACAAATTTTATTGAAATTTATTTAGTCATTAATTTTTTTTTTAAAAACTGATTTAAGTTTTAATCGTAATGTATTTGTAAAAGATAACTGCAAAAGTGAAATGAAGTAAAGGAGTGAAGTTAAGCATTTAAATGTTTAAAATTAAAAAACTTTGCATCAATTTCAATTAGCATTTCATCGTTATTTTTTAATGCTTTTTCATTTTAATCTTTAAAAAAAAAAAATTTTTTTTTTTGGAAAATTTGATAAATTGAAATGGATGCAAAATTTTAATTATTTTTATGAATTTTTTTTTCTTTTCTTTCCTTTTTTTGAGTCAAATTGAAGCAAACGAACAATTAAAAAAAAAAAACAAAAATCACAGATGAAAAAAGAACGAATAAAATTTGTGCATTAAAAGTGAATTGGTGCTGTGATTGCTGTGATTTTCATTTTTTTTTTTCTGGGTTGTGTGTGTATCTTTTGAAAAATGTGCAAAAAACGGTTAAAGCCACACAGACATTCAAATATGAATATTAAAGCTTCGGAATTCCGAAATTTGAACATTCCGGAATTCTACGAGATCAAAGCCTTGCCTTTTTTTTTAATGCAAATTGGATATTCTTCAAATATTTTTGGAAAATTTTCCAAGTATTTCTTTTTTTCTTCCTGCCCTGTTATTGAATTCAGGTCATTTCATTAGTTTTGAGATACTGGATGATAATCATCCAGCTGCTTAGAGAAATATATTTTGCCGAAATTTGCGGAAAAAAGCCAGACCTCAATGTGCGCAGTTTGTACGGCGGCATTGGAACGGGAAAGGGTACGCCATAAGCCTGGGGACAGATCGGTACGTACCTTGAGCAAGCCATCCTTGGCACCACCATTTACCGAAACAATGGAACGAGGTGAAAATGAATGGGATGAGAATTGCCAGGTAGCTGATGAAGCATCCTGAAAATTTTCTGAAAACGATACAACCGGTTTTATTCTAAAATATTTCAGGCATCGTTTGGATGGAGACTTGGCCAGAACTGTCCTTTTTTTAACATTTAAAGAAAGAAATGCCTAAAATGGATGAATTAGTATGATAATTCATCAATAATAAAACAAAAAATTAAACATTTGTTTCTCAAAAAAAAAAATATTTGAGTAAAATTTCAAACAACAAATATATTAAATGGGAAAAAAACAAATTAGTTATTAAAATATTAGGCAAAAATGAAATCGTTACTATTAATATTAGAAACACAGCAACAAATATAAAAAAAAAATGGATTAGAAAAAGGAAAAAAGAATAGGAAAAGAAAAAAAAAAGGAAATATTTTTATTTTTTTTTCTAGAAAATTTCATATTTATTGCTTAGGAAAGCACTGCTAAATGAAATAAATTTATTTATTTCATTTTTCATCTCGTTTTTTTCTTTTGTTTTGTTTTGTTTTGCTTTAATTAAAAGATTGTAAAAGAAAATGTAAAATAATTTTTTTTTTTTTTAATTTGTTTCCTTTCAATGAAGGAAACGTTTCCGTACCGTAACATAACCGGATCGATCCTGTTGTGGAATGGTTGAATTAACTGATGTATCATTTGAAATGCGTGATTCAAGCATATCACGTATTTGCTCCTGGAATCATAAAGAGACAAATATATCAATTAATTCTACTTTTTTTTTTTCATTCTCGATAATTTTGCAGAAAAAAAAAATCTATCAAAATAGATAAAAGAAAATGAAAAGTTAAAGAAAAAAAATGAAACAATATTCTCTAATCATTAAATTTAATTTTATCAAATTTGTTTTTTTTTTTCAAAAAAAAAAAAACTTTTTTATTTGAAGAACAAAAAGTGAAAAGAAAAAGTATTCTCTGTATAAAATGAATAAACATAAAAGAAATAAGAAGATAAAGTTTTTTTTTTTTCCTAAAGAGTTAATTTGAATGATAAGAAGTTTACAAGCGTAATTTAGTGCTAAATTGATAAATTATGATTATAATTTTATTATCAGTTGAATGAAATTAATTGAATTGAATTCATAATTTAAAGCACTACGAAATTTATCATTTGGTTATGCTAAACAGATTAGAATTTAAAAGACAAAGAAATTAATCTAATAAGCAGGAAGTACTTTTTCAGAATTGAAATACTAAAATTGTAATTTATATGTGAAAAATAAAATGATTAAAGTTAGTGCTATACTTGATATTTCTTCCATTATAATAATATATTGGAAAGGATAAAATTAATTTAATTATATCTGAAATTAATGCCAGACCTAAATAATTATAATTAAATTTAATATACGAAACAAAAAAAAAAAATTTTTTAAAAATTTAATAATATACTATTCTGTGCATGTTAATGTTTACATTTACAGCAGCAATTTGTAATAATTTAACATATTGCTTATATAAGCTTGTGCTCTTTACAAATTTATAATTATGTCACCTGAATGCAATTAAAGACAGGTAAATTAATGTGTTAAAATGTATTTTCTTTTTTTTTTTTTGTCATAGTAATTGCCTATTTCATTTTCTTTTTTAATGTGAATTGAAATTTTTTGTAATTTCAACTATTTCCATGAGATAATTAGGCATTAAAAATTTTGCTAATGTTTAGTTTTAAAATTTTAGCTCAATAAGAAAACACAATTTAATCATAATTTATTGCAATTTTATGTAGGATTAAATAGAATATCTTACTTACTTAATTAATTAATTAATTAATTAATTGAATGATTATTGTTTATTCAAAAAATTCAATAATTAAAGATAAAAGTGATTAGCATAGAAAAAAAAAGCGAACCTTAACAGCAGCTGGAACTGGTTCAGGTGCACTTTTAATAATTTCAGAATCAATAAGTTTGTAGTCTGTTCGCCTTCCTCTAGATCGTTCCAAAAGTCTCTCATTCAACTGTGCTAATTGATCTAAGTCACTATTCTAAAGTAAAATACATTGTTATCATTAAATGTTTGTCATTTGAATTTAACAAATTTCACAATTATAAATTATCATTTACTTAAGTCTTTGATAATTTCATTCTTTAATCTTTTCTTTTCTTTTCATCATTTTTTGCATTAATTATAATGCATAAATTATCATTGCTATTATATTTTTAAAAATATTTTTCAGTAAAAATTGAGCAATTTAAAAAAAAAAAAAAGAGAAAGAGAGAGAGAGAGAAAGAAAGAAAATTTTAGCATTTATGAAAGAAAAAAAAAAGAAAAGAAAAGAAATGAAAAGCACTAATAGAAGTTTCTAATTTAGTAAATTGTTGCTGTTAGTTGCAAAAAAAAATTTTTTAAATTATTTATTAGTTTATTGCTTAAAGCGGAAACGTGATGACACGTGTTTCTAAATTGTTACAGTGATGCATATTACACGTCACACGTAAGTAACTATCAGATTATTTAAGCGAATAGAGGTGCTTAGTGGTAGAGATTCCTTGAACTCTTTCTTTCGTTCTTTTTTTTTTTTTTTTTTTAAATACTTTAAAATAAAATTAGTTTTTATTTTATGCATTCTAAATGAATTTTTGATGAGTACTGATAGATTTGAAATTAACTTCAAATTACGAATTTAAAATTTATATTAGATAATAGAGAATGATGAGGAATGTAATAGAAAAAAAAAAAAGAAAAATGGAGAATATAACTGGAAATTATTTTAACAAGAGATATACTAAATTTTATATGTTATATATATGTTATATAATTAGTTATATATATGTTATATAATTAATAAATTATTATCTTTTTTTTGGATTACTAATTTAGATCTTTCGATTTTAACTAGATGAATATGAATTTCACAAGAAAAGTCACAATTCTTTGAAATTCGGACAAGTGTAGCTCTAATTTTAATTCGTTCTAATTTTAAATTTTCATCGGAAATCGGCAAAATTTACAATTTGGCACAAAATTATATAATTATTTTAGAACTCAAATATTTTAAATAGTTTTTTGCTACTTTCAATCATAGCTATAAAATACACTATGCTATATTTTAATTAAAGAAATAAAAGTTAAAATTTGAAATTTTAGAATGCTCAAAAATTTAATTTAAAAAAACTAAAAGAAAAAAAGTGAATTGAATTCGTCTTCTGTACTTACGGTCAATTATCTTTAATTTAGAGAAATGGTTGATATTATCAGTAGCTCAAATAATATCATCGATTCCACTAATCAATATCAAAAAAGTTTTTCTTAATAATTCGATTATTGTATTTTTTCTTTTTTTAAAGTAGTGACTGAGCGGTCAACAAATCATTCCAAAAAAAAAAAAAAAAAAGGAAAATCAGTGATAATTTTAATCAGTAATAAAAAAGAAAAATGCTTACATTTTTTGGTCTTCCACTGGCTGTCTGAAAAAATATAAAATTTAAATTGATGATAAAATGCAAAATTTACATCATTTAAAAAAAAAAAAAATTATCTAAAACTTTAAAACAAAAAATGGTAAAAGCTTATTGCTTATATTTATTAGATTATTCTGCTAAACATTTAAGATGAAAATAAACTAATTATCTCCAAGTGGTATATAATTAAGTGATAATTCGTTTTACTATATAAATATATACATAACATCACTGATAAACATAAAACAGAAATCAGATGGAGCTGAGAATGTTTGCACAGAAGAAGTAAGACCTGAAATACTGAAATGATAGATAATTAATAAATTATAAAAAAAAAAAGAAAAATAAAATCATTTAATTTTTGAAAAAAATATAAAAGTTTAAATGTTCATTGTGCATTTAAAAAGTAAATTGCAATTAAAATAAATAAAAATTAACAAAAAAGTAAATTAAAAATAAAATAAAATAATGCAAAAATATCCATACCGTTTGCTTTGTTTTTTTTTCGTCGTCCATTATTTTAATATTTGATAATAACAGAAATGATATGATATTATTAGATCATATCAAATTAATTATTATCACTGATGGAAAAATGATAAGGGAATAAGTTATTCATTTAGACAGAAAAAAGTATTATAAAATAATAAATGTAAGGAAATTTATTAACATTTATATATATATATTTCGAGAAAAAAAAAATGCAATAAAATAGTTGGAATTATTAATCAATCGATTAACAATGAAAATATATTTCGATGGAGAAGAAAAAAAGCAAAAATTGACATTTCAATATTAAAAAAAAACTATTTAGAAAAGTAATACTACAATTAAATAATTGTTCAATTGATTGATTAAATTATTAAATTCAACAGTTTCTAATTATTTTCCCTGAAAAGTGTTAAATTTTTTCTTAAAGTGATTAATTAACAAATAACTAGTTTAATCAATCAAAAATATTGTTTGTTTTTTTTTTTTTTTTTTGTAAAAAAAATTCGTAGAATTGAGCAAAAAAATAAAAGTAATGAATGAATTTATATATTTTTACAAAATTTATGTAAAAATTTCCGGAAAGATTTTACAAACGTAAGTGAAAATAAAAAAAAAAAAGTTAAAATTTGGTTAATTTAAGGAAATTAAAATTTATGCGATACTTTTTGCTTTCTTTTATTTATTTATTTTTTTTTCTAATTCTTTCCAAATAGCATTGTTTATTTATTTTACAGAAATTATTACTGTTTGCTTTGAATTTCTGTCTCTTTTTTTTTTGTTTATTTTAAATAATAATTTTTTATTTTGAATAATTAATAAAAATTAAATAATTATGAAAATTATCAATAAGTGAAATGGAAAGATAATGCTATATATTCATAAGTTTATAAAATTAGTTTCCTTTTTTTTAAAAGAAAGAACGAAACACAGAAATACAAAAATTTAATACTTTGTTTGAGTAAGTAAAAAGTTAAAGTTAAATGTACAAAATATTACAAGAAAATAAGAGAGAAAGCAAAGAATACAAAAGCATTTCAAAAAAAATATAATTGAAAATAATGTGACAATGAAAAACGAATCGGTTATGACATTGGTACAGAGAGTAAAACTTACCATTCGATGAACAAATTGCAATTAAGGTGGAAATTTTTGCCTGAAAAAAAAAAGACAAATTGTTGACGTACGTGTTATACTGTATGTGTTACCTTGGAGCTTAAAAAATTTTTTAATTTTTTTAGTTTGAAATTTACAGAAATTCATACTAAGAAGTTAGAAAAAGTAATTTATTTTACTCAAACATAAATAATGACTGCCATTGTGTATTAGTTGAGATTCGTGATGGCAATCGTTGTACGTCGATCACTTGAGGATTACTTCGATCTGCGACACAATTCACAGGTATACGTGTTAGACGACGTGGAGCAGCTTGTGATTTTGCTGATAATTGCTGCTGCTGCTGCTCATATGCAGTTGACGTACGATCAGAACGAAAAACAGGAATGCGATACTGATAATGACTGTGTTCTGAAGGATCACGTATAGGACGTGTTAATTTTTGTGATAACATCTCACGATTAAATTGATAACAGTTATCAGGATGACTGATTGAACATAATCGATTGGTTTGATTTACGTTGCAATGATCGATATGATGAGTTAATGAACCACCGGATGGAATTATTTTCCGTTCATTTCGTTGCTGCTAAATTTTGAAAATTTTTTCAATCAAATAATTTGCCAAAGAAAAAAAAAATTGTATTTCTCTTTTTTTTTCTTATTATAAAACCTGAAATATAAACAAATATACCTTATTTATCTGATATGATCGATGATTATAATAATTATTATTATCAGTGCGTGCTATAGTTGGCGAAAATTGTTGTTGTCGGTGTCGTTGTTGTCGTAAATACTGCAAGAAAAAATTTGGCAATATAATTGGATGAAGTTGATAAAAAATTTCATTAATTATACTAAATAATTGATATGATTAGATCTACTTCAATTTATCATAAATGCTTTGCATTATTTCATTTCATACTATCTTTTAGAAATAAACAACAATGCATAATTCATCAAATGCTTTAATTAATTTTAATTACAGTACTGTTAAAATATTAGGCAAAAAAATGATTTCTGTTATTCTAACTTTCATCCTATAATTAAAATATATGCAAAATCTTCCAAAGTTACCGTTTAATTGCTTAATTTATTAATGAAATGGCTGTCAATTAAAGACACACACAAATAGAAAAGTTTATTTTTTAATTAATAAAATTTCCAATTGCTTATGCATTAACTATAGAAAACTTTCAAAATAAATGTACTTTTAAATCTAACAGAAATTTTTTGTAGCAATGAAAAAGATGGCATTTAAATTACTCTGCTAATCTTATTTTAATTTACATAATTAATAATTAGAAAAATGAAGGTAACTTAACTAACCTGTCGATTTCGGTTCATTTGTTCATTGTCTGATGACTGCAAGCCATCATCGATATTAGTTGCACGTGAACAACGTGTGTTACCTGTATTTGAACGTAAATGAACTGAAGGAGTTGTTAGTCTTAGCTTATTTTCAAATGCTGCAAGCTTTCCACGTACATTCACGTTACGAGGTATGTCACGTGACGTTATCGTGGATGTGTGTACTGGCAAGTCGTAGATTTTTTCCCAATCAGCTATATCTGAAATTAGCATTTCATTTGTTTTTTATGATAGCATAGTTGGAGATTTTAATTATAATTATTAAATGTTACTAATCAATTTAATTCCACTGCTATAATGATATTTTATCATAATTAAGCTAACCATAGCATCGCGAAGATGGTAACTCTCCAAATCGATGAAATTTTCTATGATGGATAATTTCCATTTCCTTATCCGGATCCGCATCAATTAATTCCGGTAAGCTTTGTGAATGCTTCTTTTTCAGTACCTAAATTTTATCAAACTTGAAAATAATGAGAAATTAAATTTGATATGAATAAAATTTTGAAACAGGAAAAATAGAAAAAGCATATTATGATTTTTTGAAGAAATTCTCAAAATGACGTAAAGGTATTTTAGGAGAATATTTTATTTTAAAGTATTTGGAAGATATTAAATTTTTAGGAAAATATTTTTCCAACCTTAATAGCATTTGGTGCATGAGGATAGAAGCCACCAGATGGTGTAGCACGTGGACCACCGAATGCTGGTTTCGGTCTATGACTACCATCAGGTAACGGTTGAACAACATGCCTGATTTGACGTTTTGCAGATTCATCTAATGGACCAGGACCTAAGTCAGTTTTTTTTTAAGTCAAAAATTAAAATCAATAACTATGGTTTTAATCAAAACAATTGTTTGCAATTCAAAATTGAAAGATTTCGAAAACTTGAAATTTCATTATGTAATGTGAAATGTATTTTTACAATGATACTTACCATATCCTCGTAATGTATCAGGTAATGAATGTTCCGGACTGAAATTCTTACATTCCTGTTTGTATTCCGGATCATAGACAACTGGTTGCCATCGGAATTCAGCTGTTCGACCTGTTGCATTATCTGTAGAAATTAATTGCAATAAGAGCAAATTAAAGCACATAAAAGGGAAAATATTAATTTTTCTTGTTTTGCTTCAATTAATCAACAATAACTTAATTAAAATATAAACAACGAAGTTAGCACTATGAAAAATTCACTCAAACAAAATGAAATAAAACTTTAATTTACTTAAAAAAGAAAATACTACAGTTTAAAAGTTACCTGTAGAGTAGTTACTACTACTTTCAAGGCTTGGCTCAGCATTTAATGCTTTACCAACATATGGCCAAACATTAGACTGTTCCGGTGGTGGTTTCCATCGTTTCCCAGTTCGGAAAATTACCGGTTCAGGTCTTGGTTTTTCAATAAATACTTCACGGCGCTGAAACAATTTGAATTATTTTTCTAATATTACAAGTGAGAATTATTTTTGTTACAAAAAAAAAAAAAAAAAAAAAAAAACAGACCTATCATAATATGTGTTATCACAAATTGCGGCATTAAATATTAGCAATATCGTAATCAATCAATCAATCAATCAATAATAGAAAAATGATCTTAATATTATAAAATCAAATTAAACCAAAGAAATTTAATTTACTAGTCAATTTTTGTTTTCTTTGATAATTACCGCAAATTTAAAACAATACAATTAACTGGAATTAATAATATGCTAATGTTATAAAATAAATTACCTTTAATAAGTCAATATCGAATCGTTCTTTTTCAAGAAGTTGTTCACTGGTGATAATTTCATTTTTAGCAACTGGTTTTAATTGATCAACAATGTACACTCGTTTCCAGGTTATCGAATTTGGAGAGCAGATAAGTTCACCTTGTGTGTCACCTTCAGATGTCGCCGTAATAGGACGCGTTTCATAAACATGCATCAATTGTGGTTCTATATTCTTCTAAATTAAGCAAAACAGTAATTAAATTCAATTTTAAATAAAACAATTATTCATTGTTTTATTTTTTTAATTTCTATAAATTTACTCATTAATAATAAATATTAATTTTTAACTATAAATAATCAATCCATTCACACTAAAGTAAGGTATTTATTTAAAAAAATCTCTAAATAAGCAAATGGATAATTCTTCCAATAAATCAATTTAATTACTATAAATTTATTCATTAGCAATAATTATTAATTTTTAAGTATAAATAATCAATCCGTTCATTGTTATTTTCTTTTCTTTTTTTTTAAAAAACTTTATAACAAAGTAAGAAGTAAAAATAACAAAGTAACAAGTAGTAACAAAATGAAAATTGAGAGAAAAAAGAGCGTAAAAAAACGAAGAAAATAAGTAAAAAATGAATTTCTTAGAAATAATAATGCGAATATTATTGTATGAAATTCTTATGTTTTGATTATTTCAAAAATTCGAAAATTTTAATCTCAAAAACAGGTGGCAGTAATGAAATATAAATTAGAAATAAACCTCAAAGTAAAATTCTTTTTGTCGTTTTTGAGCATTAATATCGATCTGTTGTAATTCTTCACGAGATTGTGTCATTGAGTCCTCTATTGCTGGACTAATTATTCTACTTCCTTTTGTTTGCATTTGTTGACAATACAAATGTTCTTGTTTTTCCAAAGCACGACACTTAAAATATTTCATTGTGTTGTAGAGATTGTAATCATATCAGTGACTGATAAAGTAATATCAGTACATTTCGTGAAATGATTATTGTAAAATATAAAAATATTGATTAGATTGTAAGCCAATACCTGCTTCTCTCTGCATAAAACAGCCTTTTCCTCATTAAGTCTCATAGCTTCCAGTTCAAGTTGCTTCTGTCGATGGTACTCATTAATTCGATCCGGATCAGTAATATTTCTGGTTCTTAATGATGGTGGAACCGATCGAGCACGTTCATGTTTTTGTTTTGCTGGCTGTAGTGATGGAACAACAACACTTTCTTTAATTTCGTTATTCTGTAAATTATTTTAAAAAGCGTTGTCTCAACATTTCAACATAAAATGAAAAAAATTAAATTAGAAATTTTAATTTGACAATTAAATTTGCTCTATTCGTTTGAAATTTTAAACAGTTTGCAATTAATCAAAACCAATAATCAATTACTTTTTCAGGTTCCATTACATTCATTTCCATTACTGATACCGATTTTGATCGACTATCATAGCTAAATATTTTAAATTACAATTAGTTAACTCATCATTTGAATAAGTAAAAAAAAATGATTCATTAAATTAATAAGAAAATAAATGAAACCTTAATTTGTGGTTCGAATCATCGATAGAATTTTGTTGCTCTTTTCTGATTAAGTGATAATCAGTTTCAAAACGATACTCTTCAACAGGAATTTGTTGTCTTTCCAATGATTCACTGAAAATGAAAAAAATTTTTTTTAATTTCTCTACTTCAATCGTTTCAACTACTTTGTCATGCATTTGTAAATTTTTATTTGAAACTTTTCAATATGTAAATAATTGAGAAATTTTCAAGTTCATATAAATTAAAATTATCAAATATCATAAAATAACACTAAATAATTGCTAATAAAATTTGCAATAAATTGTTGAGGAATAATTTTATAAAATATAATCATAATGTATAATATATAATATAATATATAATATAATAATTAGCATTAGCAAATAATTTAGCACTTTTAGCATCAACAATTTTAATATAGTTAAAATTAAACCTTTGCTGCTTGATGTGAACTTCTTCGAGAGTAAAGAAAGGTCCATTAAACGAGGCTTGCGGAAGATGACGTGGTGTTTGAGGTCGTCGTAACAATCTTTGTTGTCGCAGATTTTCCTGCATAATTTGATATAGCCTATTCTCGCGTTCAGTCAAATTTGAACTGAGATTGAAAGAATGAGAAGATTGACTCATTCGATCGGATATGTCACAGCATTGATCGTTGAATTGTTGTTTTTCTTTCTGAAGCAAAAAGGTTAGTTTGAATACTCTTAGTAATGTTTCATAGTATACTAAATTATAATTATAATTTTTTTTTTTTTTTTTCAAATGATAGCAAAATAGCAAAAGATAAGTCATAAAATTTGGCTCACAATAATATTAATAAAATTAAAATTTATATTTCAAATGATATTTGTTCTAAGCTTGAAAGTATGAAATTTAAAAGCAAAAATAGTTTTAATTTTAAATTTAAAGATATAAGTGATTTAATTTTATACATTCAATAATTATCATTTCTGAAATTTTATTTAAAAACTTAGAATTAAATATTTTTTCTTTCTGTTATATTTTTCTAGAAGTTAGTTTGCTACTGATTGAAGCATCTTAAAGATGAATTAATTATTTATTCAATTTTTTTATATTTTTTTCAGTTTATAAAAAAAGAAATTTGAAAAACAAATTCTAAGAAAGATGTCACAGAATTGGATAATTGTGACATTTTTCCTTTTTTTTTATTTAGCTAATGTAAACAAATTTAAATTTCCTCATCAAAGATAAGCTGATAATAACAAATTGTTTAAATTAAAGATAAATAAAGGCAGAGTGATAATAAATGTTTCCTGGAAATGTCCTGAAAATGTTATACCTTATCACTAGTGTCACTAATTTGAATCCTTTCAACATAACGCTCAGATGTATTATCACTGATATCACAGGTAGATGGTGATAACAGAGATTCTGCTACTTGTCGTTGTTTTAGGATAGATTTTGGTTGTTTACTGAAATCACTCGAATAATTCAGTGTAGATACAAACGGATCAGAATCAGAAGAATTGTCAAAATCGTTGTCCATTTTATAAACCTGAAACATTGCAAATATATATTTCAAATTATTTGAGCAGCAATAAGCACTTTAATGATTTGTAATGTATATTTCATTAAATATCTCTTACAATTAATAATATTAAATTTTTTTTTTAAAATTAACACACAAATCTTCCAGGACAAAATAACGATATAATTTGCTCATCTCAAAAGATATTACAATTCAGAAGTGAAATATTTATTAGCTTAACAATATTTTATCTTTTTTGATTGTTCAATATTCTTAATACTAATCAAATATTATTATCACTTTTCATCGCATTTTATTATTTCAAAAATTAATAATTCATAGTGACAAAATTTGGTGCTTGAAAAAATCATTTAAATTTAAAAAATACTATTTTGCTTTTGCTATTATTGCGATGTGTTTCATTTTGATTTGTGCAAATGACTCGACGATGTGAATTTGGATTCGTAATTTGGACAGCAATTATTGATATCGTTGGTTTTTGAATTTTTTCAACAGAATGAGGGGTTTGATTTGCATTTATGTTTACATCGATGTTTTCTGATGGATGCAATGTCTGCAAAAAAAAAAAAAAAAAATTTAAATTTAAAAAAATTTTTGAAATATTCAAAATTAAAATAAGAAGAGAAAAATGATATTTATAAATGTTTACTTATAGTAATTTGATAAATAATTCCAGTCAAATGCTCACCTGTACTATAGAAGATTTGGAAGTATCTGCAGAACATGGTGTCACCATTTGTTCATGACAATACCGCCGAACATTTTCATTTGCTATGAGATGATCCACTACGACAGAATTGTTGCTACTTTCAAGTTCCAAGTTCTGAAATTATCAAACTTAGTCAAATATTTTTTGAGTAACAAATCAAAAAGTGATTAGAAATCTTAAATAATTAATTTAAATCTTGAAAATTTAGCTAACAACATAGGAATTTAAAAAATTATAGTAAATTATAATAACTTCAAATAATATAATAACAAATTTGGTAGCTCAAATTATAACTTTGCTAATTGTATTTATGTCTATAATATAAATATTAATTTAAATTACATTTAATGACCATAAGTAAGTGACTGAATAAAGGATTACAAGATTTTATCAGTAAATTTCATGAAATTTAATACCAAGAAAGTTCAACTTCAATTATTTCCTATAAAGCTCATTGTACTATTGTTTCTATTAATAAATGAATTATTATATTCCTGTATTATCCCAAATATTAATATCTCAATCCAGCTAATCTCCCTGAGATCAACAAACATCTTTCAAAATAATAAATAAGAATTTAAATCTTTCACGACCACAGATTCATAGTTAAGTTTAACTATACTCTTTATAAAGACATAAATTATAGCGTAAAAGTATTGTTTCAATGAATTTTATTGTCTATTAAGCCTAATCTAGCTTCAGAAGATAATTAAATTTATTTAATTTAAATTTAACTATGCCATTTCAACTTTAGTTTAACTTTAAATCTATTTATACAATTAGCAAGGAAGAAAAAAATCAAAAATTTATTCAGTATGAATTATATTTCACAGTAAATAAAATTCTTGTCTTCTAGAAAACAAGAAAAAAAAAGAAAGGAAAAGATGAATTCTCGAGCAATCATTTACTCAAATTAACTTACTGCTTGATATAAGTAAATAAGCAAACTTGAATTGACTTAAATGCTCTTGAAAATGAAGAAAAATTTAGTTTTCAGTACACACTTTAAATAGAATAATCATACTGACAAAATTTGATACTTTCGGAATGTATCACAAAAATCTTTTCGTCTTTTTTTTTTTGTCTTTGTTCAAATGGATGAAATATTGTTGGAATACTTTTTATTATAATAAAAGCTGAAATTTTTAAAATTAAGGTGATAAATTGATAGAATAAATCAATGATATAAGCTTATCAGATTATAATCATAATAAATCAGCAAATCACTTAGTTCAACTATGTAAATATAACAATTTCAATGTCTAATATAGTGATAATATAGTGATTCGTAGAATACAATGATTTAGTTGATTTAATTTAATTGAAAAATGATAATAATTATTGAGAATTTGGTAGATATTTGAAGGATTGCTGATAAGCTGATAATTTCTTATTAAAGAACCTGTTTCGGAGATTTTCGAATATTTTGATCATAAAAATTGACGACAGCTTTCTGATTATGTTCCACAGAACTGCTACAACTACTACTATCGTTTTCTTCGATAGTAGCTTCTTTGATATCAGGTAAAGAGATAAATGAACGTACAGGACGATTATGGTGACAGTCATCAGAATGTGAGCATTTCGTTGATGGTAAGAAGGATTCACGTGAAATTTGCTGCTGTGACATTTGGATGGAGTAAAGTAATACAGAAAATTAAAAAATTGTGCTAAAGAATATTCGACATAGCCTAGAAATTCGAATTTGAAAAATTTTGATTACGATTTTACGATGCATTATAGAGTTAAATTCGGTTATAGTGTTAAAGAAGAAATTATAATAATCTGTTGATATTTTATAAGAACAATTATTATTTTTAATGAAAAATTAATTATATCACTAATGGAAACTCTTTAATTTTCAAAACTGTTGACAAATAAGGTAACAAAGAAAGGAATAGATTAATTTAATGAACAGATAATAGTAGATCGTATCAAATTGAAATTTCATTTGTAACGTTCGTTTCTTCATTAGGTTAATAGTAACAGATAGAATCAAAATATCATCGAAATTTCGTTGATTATTTCAGGTATTTTAGATGAAAAAGAAGCGCTAATTAAAGGATGTCCGACATTATCATTACCATCGTCACTAGCATCATTATCAACCATTATCATCGTCGCTAGCATCATTATCAACCATTATCATCATCATCATCATCATTATCATCGTCACTATCATCATTATCAACCATTATCATCATCATCATCATTATCATCGTCACTATCATCATTATCAGCCATTATCATCATCATCATCATTATCATCGTCACTATCATCATTATCAGCCATTATCATCATCATCATCATTATCATCGTCACTAGCATCATTATCAACCATTATCACCATCATCATTACCATCGTCACTATCATCATTATCAGCCATTATCATCATCATCATCATTATCATCGTCACTAGCATCATTATCAACCATTATCACCATCATCATTACCATCGTCACTAGCATCATTACCATCGTCACTAGCATCATTATCAACCATTATCATCATCATCATTATCAACCATTATCATCATCATCATCATTACCATCGTCACTAGCATCATTATCAACCATTATCATCATCATCATCATTATCATCGTCACTATCATCATTATCAGCCATTATCATCATCATCACCAGCCATCATCATCATTCGCAGCAAAGTGACAGTAACATACAGACACATACAAACGCAGACAAACACACACACACACGCACACATAAAATGGGTTAGCCAACTAAGCTAACACCTTGAAAAAACACAAATTCATACATTTACTCATCTACAAGATATATGTAAACTTACTAACACACAAACATACATACATGCAAACATTTGTCGGATAAATGACATACGACAGACACACAAACATTTTGTAGGCGAACAGGCTAATAGTTCGTTCGATTTCATTCGATTTTTTCTTTTTTTTCTCGATAAGCTTACCACTACAATATTTAGAGCTGTCATCAGAGAGGTACCTTAGCAAACAAAAATTTCGAGCGGAACAGAAATATTAGCAAAAGATTCAATAAAATAAAAAAAAGAAAATAGGAGAGGAAAAAGAAATGAGCAAAATTTTTTTTTTTTTTTTTTTGGGGTAATTCAAACGAATAGAAGACGACAGTTGACAAAAGAATAGCTTAAAGTGACAGACAGGTACAGTTTAATTTTGTTGCAAATATAATAAGTCAATAGAATTCATCTTAAATTCATTTTGTACATTTTAATTTCTTCTTTAAATATTTGGAAGTTAATGCATTTCAAAAATTCAAATATATTAATGGTATAAATTAAAGATAAACATAAAACATCAAGTGAATATAAACCTATGATTTCAAGAAATTTTTACAAAATTAAAACGTCAAAAAAAAAGTTAGCAAAGACGAAAGTGAAATTATTAATACTTAGTTCTTTATTAAAATTTTATTTATCGTTTTCTGATCTATCACTCATTAAGTGAATAATTTATAGAACATTTTAATAAAAAAATTATTAATGTTAAAGATTGAAGGTTAATTCTTTGCTAAACAATGTTTTCTAGCTGAATATTAAAATTGTATTCTTTTTCTTGTCGAGAAAAAATAAATAATTTTTTTTTTTTGCTTTACTTTCGTTAGATATCTTAGTAAAACTAAAGTGTGATGAAGTGAAGGTGAATAATATTATTACTTGAAATTATTATGAAATAATCGAACTTTTAGGGATTTTTTCTAAGATTTAGCTAAATTAGTCATAAAATTATTCAGTCCAAAAAAAAAGAAACAGGTCGATGACAGTTGAAAAAAAAGGAAGTAGGCAGTCTTTTTTTTTTGGTTAGAACTTTCATAAATTAATTTAATTTCGTTAATAGTATGCCGACAATATACTCATACTTTTTTATTCAGAGAAGATTGAAACGGAAAAATTAAGTATGCATTGATAAGATTTTGATAAGAATATATAGTTAAGAAATTTTAATAATTGATAAGATATTCATGAAATTATTAAAATTTAACTAATTCGTACAATAATAAAGAAATGATTGAATTTTACGGGAATTTTTTTAAACAGATCAAACTTATTAAATTTATTTTGATCCATGAAATCAAAACATAGCAATCATAGATTAAGCATAATAATCTGAATTGTGAATTGAATTAGTCAATAAATTATCACACATAAAATTAGTCAAATCGTTTGTTCAGTCCTTCATTTATTATTTTCGTTAAAATTTCATCTCCTAAATAATTTTAATAGCGTGCTAAGATGTAAATATTTGCACATAATGCTTACTTCTACACTTCTCATATATTTTCCATTTATCATTGTTTAAAAAAGAAAAAAAGGAAAAAAAAAAACTTGAAGTGTTTATGTCAACAAATTTCAGATAAACTTAATCCTTGAAAGTTAGTTGTAAATCATATCTTTTTTTTTATAACCTATCATTTATAAACTTTTTATACTTCCAAAAAAATCCCTGAATAATCTATGAATCAGTAATTGAATGCTACTAAAAACACAATTGAATTTATTTCTGGAAACTTTTTAAATATATTCTCGTATGCAAGTGCTAAAATTATTGATTAAACAATCAAATAAAAATAAAATAGTTTTGATATAATAAATATTTAACGCATGAAGTTAATAATCTTGTAAAAAATTAATTAATTTTCTCTCAATCAACGTAATCAATCATTAAAAAAATTAAATAAAAATTATAAAAAATTAAAATTTTTTTGGCGAAAGAAAAAATGAAAACATACATAATTATTTATTATTCATTCCATCGCGAAGAAATGTCCAAGAAAATAGCACTTTTATAAATTATCACTTCATTGTTAAGCAATCATATCATCAGGAATTGTAAGCCAATTCTCGATTTCCATTTCTGATTCCATCAAATTCTGATTGCATTCATCAGTGTCGCATAAAATGTCACATTTTCGGGTGACACTTGTCTGCTTATCTGTTTCTTACTCGTACTTCTCAGTGGTGCATTTTCTGTGCTTTTTTTTTCTTGGCTCTTACCAAGCCTTACAATCTCAGCTCCAACTTGATTAAACAAACACAAAACAAATAAAAGGACAGTAATTATTGACATAACACAATACAAAGTTACAATAAGACTAGGCTAGATTAACATTCTTCAGTAATACAAAAATTTTAAAATTTAAAAAACTTTAAATTCACAATGAAAGCAACAAATTCTGTTAATTTAATGAATTTTTTTCTTTTTAGAGATTAGAAAACATCTAAAAAAAATTTTTCAAAAAACAAAATCATTTATTGTGAACAATTAATTGTAATTATTAGCGCATGTCACACAAAATTATCATCATATGATTAAAAGTATTAATAAATTAAAATTATTAAATTAAGACAACCTATCAAGTTATTATCTATGAGGAACAATCGTATAAATATAGCCATTAAAAAGGACAAAATTAGATCATTTTGATTAATTTAGTAAAACTCAAAGAATATTTATCAAGAAATTTAAATTCAAAAAAAAAAAATAGAAAAAAAAAGGGAAAAAACCATACCTTCTGAAGAGTTTCGATAGTCTGAAATGAATGAATGAATGAAAAAAAAAAAAAAGAATTTGTTGAATTTTAAGTTGAAAATTGAGAAACTTTTCAAGTAATAAATGTTACAAATAAATAATTGATCAAATTATATGCAAATGCTAAGCATTGATCATCAAGGTCATCAGTCCTAAACTCTTCATTAAATCTATTTTCTTGTGTTGTCACATTGTCACATGGTAGTTTGTTTATTATTCCGCAATATATATTCAAATGCAAATTACTGCATCGTTTGACAAGGTCAAATGAAAATTGCTCATTTGAAATTTTTTCTTTTCTTAAAAATTTTCAAATGATTTCGAACTACATTTTCCTTTCATGTTGCTTACTAAACAGATACGAATCAATATTTCATCTTTTTCTCTCTTTTTTTCTTTTTTCTTTTTGCAACATTACTCAACTTAATATATAATTATTTAATAGAAATTTATGTAACTGAAAATTTGCAAAAAAAAAAAAAAGCAATAACTTACTTTTTTGATTTCAGCAAGTTCTTTAAGTGATTGATCGTTTGAATTTGTAGCCTGAATTTAGTTTTTTTTTTTTCTTGATATTATAATTCATACAGTTTTCATCATTACTTTTAATTTATTCAAATAAGCTCTTCGTATTGAGTTATTTAAAATTAATAACAATAAAATACCTTTGGCCCAGGCCATTGAGGCTTATCCCATGGTTTATTAGCATCATTTTCACGTGCTTTCAAATAATCCTTTAGTCGAGATGTCTCCATGTCACGATGACGATCTAAGCTTTCAGTTAAATATGCACTGGTTGTAATTGGACGAGTTTCTGCAGCCTGAAATACTCGAATACTACATTTCAAAATTAGATTTATTTAAAAAAAAAAAAATTAAAGACAATTAGATTTATTTAAAAAAATTAAAGACAAAATTTGAGAAGCACTTCTTACATATTAAAATTTGCAATCTGAATAAACATTTTTTCTTCTTTTTAAGCCAAAACTGCTCAAATTTTAATAAATTAAAAAATGTTTACACATTCTTTTTTTCTTTTTGGAAGATATTATAGCAAAGATACTAATAAAATACACAATCAAAATTAAAAAATTTTTAATTAATTATTTGAAACTTCTCTTAAATGGAGCAATTAGAAAAGTTAAAATTTGAAGTGATTAAAGTGATTTATAATAAATGCAACACTTTCATTCTTTAACAACAACCTTAATGAATGTTTTGAAAAATTCGTTATATTAATAATTCACATACCCGTAATTTCCTTTGTTGCATTGGTTCTAATTTTAGAAATGATCGTTTACTATGTTCGCTTGGAAAATCCAAATTTCGTCGTTGAATTCGTGGAATTTCTCGATTATATGCTGGCATCGATGCGTTTGAGGTAACTTTTGGATCAATGATTTGTAATTTAAAATGATCTTGTGTTTCTTTCACCTAAATATTTACCTATAATTGTAATTGCAAAAAAAAAAAAATAATAATAATAAATCTAAATTTTAGAAATTGAAATTGATTTTCAGATCTTGAAATCTTCTAATGTAGAATAAATTTACTTAAATTGTATTTGCTAAAACTAATAAATATTTCCCTGTTTTTTATTTTTAGACATTAAAATTTTGATTCTTTTAATTGTTGTATGAAAAATGAGACAAATTTCATTAAAAAAAAAAAAAAAAAAAGTACCTTATAATCGCCAACAGCTTCTGGTAAATTTAAATCTGAACCAAAATCCATTTTTTGTATCTGTAATATCATCTTTTTTTTTTTTTTTTGTAAAGTTTACAATTTAATTTAAAAAAATTTGAAATTGATGAAATGTGACATTTTCATTGTAAAGAAAATTAAGAAAACAGATGGTCAAGAAGAAAGAAAAATAAAAAAAAAGCGCACTTGTCTTTCACTAACACTTTTATAGTTGGGCGTTATAGACTGTATCACAGACTTTTGCGCTTCACCATGGATTATCGTTGGACGATCTTCCTGGAAAAAGCACTAGGTTTGAAAATGTTTGAATTTTAAGTTATTTTAGATTTTAAATTAAAAAAATTATTTTCAAGAAAAAGTAAAATTTGATTTGAATTATTTGATAGCAAAATTTTCTATGTATCACGACTGCTGTCATCATAATGACCTTTCAAGAGCTATTATATCATTTCTCCGCTCAATTTGAGGAATTTAAAATCGATGAGCTACTGGTCAAACGGTCATTACTAACCAACCAATATTGATTATCGATTATTTGATAATAAATAAGTGCTTAGCTTGCATAGATTCCACAAGCAATTAAATAATCGTTATATTTTCATAATTTTTTTTAAAAAATTGATGAGAATGAATACATTTTGAGCTATTCATCAACAAATGAATTATCATAAAATTTATTTCTAACATTTTATTAAATGAAATTGAATTATGAATTAATGTTAAACGAGTAGTTATTGTTGAAATGCCTTTTGAATATAATTGTTAATTTTTAAAATCAAACTTTTATTTATTGTTGAAACTTAATATATCATATTTTAAGCCATTTGTTAGAATTTAAATATGCAAAATTTAGCTTAAAACTAGATTGAACATACAAAAACACGTAGACGTTCCATAAACATCGGTGAAAATCGCTGAATTTGAGGTTGTTCCAGCATTTCGTTTATAAAATTTTATTATTTAATACTGGAAATGTTATCAGACTATTTATTTAAATTTTTCTATCACATAAAAGAAAAGACCGCAATAAATTGCCAAAAAAATAGTTTGTATTTTAGAAAGACAAATTTCTCACAAATAAAGGAAATATTTAAGTAATTTAAACATTCGTAGTATCATACATATTCAATTGGATCAATTTTTAAAGTTAAAAAAATATGGAAATAAAATTAAAATGGAACGATGAGAAATCCAATCCACTTGAAAAGAAAAGTAATTCTGAATGAATTCAAATTGCTATGCATAATTTAGCTAATGTGGACATTTTTGAAATGTTTATGAGGCAATACTATATGTAAATCAAAGATTATTTCAATGATATAAACGATTGATCGAAGATCACTGGACGAACACCAAAAGAATCGAATATTATTTATTTTTAAAAAATGTGAAACTAATTGAATTGATTGATATTTTGATTGTTAAGTGAATGCTATATAATTTTTTAAGACATTGATTTTGATCTAAAATTATAATTTATAATTTTAGATAGGAATAGAGGACATTTCTTTCAACAATAAATATATCTTTGAAGCTACTAATCAAATAGATATGTTTAGTTTCAAAAATATTCCAAATTTTTAAGGTCATTAAGCATTTAGAAAATTTATTAAAAAAAAAAGTTAAATTTTAGTTGACAATATGATTTCTTATAACTTTTTCTTTCATTTCCTTACCAGTCAATCATTTCTTCTTTTTCGGTTAATTTAATTTAATTCAAGTAAGAAAGAAAAACTTTCGCTTTTATTTATTATAGAATGTTAAAAGAATATCAACAATTAATAAGTCAAAACTTTGCTATCATTTATAGGCAAAAAGTAAATGTTAGTTAATTTTGAAGTAAATTTCATTTCACTAATCTGAAATTCTAATCTTCTTCAGCTATTATTATTATTATTGTTATTACTGTTATTATTATTATTGCTATTACTATTATATTTGTTATTATTATTACCACTATTATTAACCATTTGATATTAATATTATTATTATTAATTATTATCAACTACCATTATTTATTATTAATTATTTCACCTATTATTGCATAATTATATTAGTATTAATTTTTTATTTTTTAGTTATTATTAGTGCTATTAATAATTACTATGCAATAAAAACAAAAATAATGAATTGAATTTATTAGTGGAAAAGATGAAAATGAAATATAAGTTTTATAGTTTAATAGAAATAGTATTTGATAAATTTGTTTGAAATATTACACCAATTTCTCTTATGCGCAAATTGAAAATGAAAAGGGAAATTAATTTCGAAGGTATCTTTCATTCTTCTAAATTTGTTAAAATTAAAGGGCAATTTTTTAAAATAAAGTAAACGCCTATTTTTGTAAAAAGAAATTTGAAAAATTTTCAAGTAATTTAATTATTCATTTGAGCAACGTATTTTCATTTCACTAACTTACTTTGCTCATTTATCAATACTTTCTCATTATGAAGCAATTTTTTTTTTTTCTTCTCTAAAATGTAATTATGAACGTAAGTAAATCAGAAATAAACAAATGTAATGAAGCATTTGAATTTATTGAATTTAAAAAAAAAAAAAAAACTTTTAAAAAATGATATATTAAAGATTAAAACGGTAATCATTTAATAAACAAATTTCAAGACATCATTTTGTTCAATTCGCCATAATCTGTATTGCATATAATAGTGAAATATTTAAAATGAAATGAATAAATCAAGACTTAATTGTATTTTTGATGATCGTCGAGAATTGAATGAATGACATAATTGATTCAAAATCTTATTTCAACGATTAAAATTCATTTGTAATTGGGTAGTTATCAAGGAAGCAGTTACTGAGAAGTTCAATGATTGTAAACAAATTTTAAAAATAAACAACTCTACAAATTATAAAATGATAAACAAGCGAAAATTGTGATAAATTATGTATGAGAGAAATCAGCTAAATTTTCATAATCAAAATTTTGTTTCATAATTGAAACATTAATACTATCAATATGATTCATTTAATCTCTTTTTTCATTTTTCCGTCTTTCCTCATTAATTTGACCTAAATTAATTTGAATGAATTATAAACTACGCAACATTTTTCATAAATTTTCAAACTTTTCTCTGTTATCATTTTCAAAATTAAATCAAATTTTAAATTTTGATTTAATATGAATAAAAGATTATCAACTGTTCAGTTTTTTTTTTTTTTTTTTTTTATATTATCAAATGAAAGAGGAAAATTAATAAAATGAATAATTAATTATCACAAAAGTAATGAAATGAATTTGTTCAAGATTTCAATAACAGATAAATATTGCTATATGATAGTATAATTTATTAAAAGTTAAATTAATGATATTAATGTAAATTGATTTAAAAAAAAAAGTGTTCAAATGGTTGATCGAAATTTAACAAAGATTTATAGTTTTAGAAATTTGCTATTAATCCATTTACATATATTAATAAATTTAATTGATAACAAAGATAAGAAGAAAGTATAAGCAAAATTTTTTAATTAAATTAATATAATTAAATCTAATCAAAATCTTTAAAATAGATTAATAAAATTGAATTGTAAATTATTTAAAAAATATATGAGAAACAATTGAGAATATAAAAAAAAATATAGAATTTTTTATCCTAATTCTTTTTTTTTTTTGATTTTTCATATTATATTTCTCAATTTTCTTTTATTCTACTAAAAATAAATTTTTAGTAGAAAATTACAAAAATGACCGAATTTTTCATCCAATTTTCCTTGTAATTTTCTAGAATTGTTGCATGAAATAATCTCAGTTTTTTTTCTTTCTTTTTTTTTTTTTAGATTTAATAATCTTTTTTTTTTCTTTTTTATTTCAATATTTTTTTTCTTGCAAAATTTGAAATGCACAATGCACTGATTGAAATAGTCCAAAATTATATTTTAAATTTTCTTCTTTTCTGGAAAAGCTAAAAAAAATGAAAAATAATTTTGGATACCATTCCAGTTTTTCACTAAAGTATCACATAAATAGGAATGCAAATAAACATTTCGTTTAACTTATTATTATTTTTTATAAATTATTCGGTATACTCCTAACCGGATGAAAAAACTGATATTATCTTTCCCTGAAATGGAAAATTTATGGATGAAAGGCAAAAAAAAAAAAAAAAAAAAAAAAAGCAAGCAGTTAAATAATGATGAAAAGTTAGTATTATTTAAATTAAATTTGACTAAATTTTTGTAACAATTTTTAAAGAAATAAAATTTTTTATAAATTTTAATTATTAAAAATTTTAAAATATAGAAAATTGATAGGGATGAAAGGAACGATAAGAAAAGGTAACAAAGTACAATGTCGAAATGTGTAATGGTATGGAGCCGGAAAAGATAGAAAAATTCAAAAATATTCTTAGCAAATCATTCATCTTTTCATTTCATTCTGTAAAAGCTTCTAAGGTCGCTAATTGTGATACTTTTGTAATTTTTAATTATTTTGTGAAAATATCAATTAATAACTTTAATGAATTAAGTAAGAATAAGAGTGAGAAGAAGAGAAATTAGTACATGAAAAATTTTTAAATTGAAATGAATTGATAAGCAAGCTTATAACAGTTAAAAAAGCTAAGTTAGCTTTAGCAAACTTTTGAAATGCTTATGTTATGGATTAATTTTAGATGAATATTTGATTTTGAATGAAGTTATTTAATTCAAAATAATAAATTATGAACTGATAGAAAAAAAAATTGATAAAGTTAGTAATATTATATTAATTTGATGTTGATTATTTCATATTAAAATATTTTAATTAATGGCATTTTAAATAACGATGAAAGTGGTAAATAAGAATAGAAATAATTTTGCTGAAGGGGAAAGCAAGAAGACATAACAAATTGAAAAACTGATGGACAAATCTTTCTTTCATCGTAATTTCAACAAGGAAATGTCATTTGCATTTTGTACTTCATTCATGTTTCATCTTTCTATTTTTGAATAAGAAAATTATATTTTCATTGTAAATCAAAAATTTTTGCATAGAAAATATTGGAATAAAATATGTGATAAAATATTATTCGAATAAATATTCATCATTTTGCAATTGTTAGTAATTTAAAATTGAAAAGTTAGCTGAATAATTGCCATAAGTGAAAATTATTGAATAGTATTAAAAGTTTTGTAAAATTTTAAATCAAAAACTAATGATATAATAAATAGTATTATGATTTTATGCGCAATCATTTGATAATTTAAGATTAATTTAAAGTTAAGTTAAGGTAAGATTAATTAAAATAGATGAAATAGAAAAAAATTGCATGAAAAGTAAACTATTTTTAATGTAAATTAATATCAGAAATGACCAATATGATGGAATCGATGAGTGATATATATTTATACTGAAAAAGATTCTTCCGCAATTGAATTTATTTAACAATTTGGCACCACCCTCTATTTCAATTCATTTAAATAAACCATCAAAATAGACTTTAATGTGATTTGATATAAACATTTTTTGCACTTTTTTTTTCTGTTTAAATTAAAACGAAAAAAAAAAAAATCCTACACTGCAAAGTATAATTTCTATCAAAAATAAAGATAAAATAAAGAAGTAAGCTAAAATTATAATAATTAAAAATTAAATTAAAAAAAAAAAAAAAGTTGTTAGAAGCTAATAAAGCATTGTATAGATATGATTAGAGAATAAAAATGAAACATTAATTGAAATATAAACGATACAAAATGATTGAAGGTCAAGTTAAAAATGATTAAAGTAAAAATTATACCTTTCAATAAAAGAGAAAAGGGAAAAAAAGAGGAATGAGTTATGGGTAACAATGAAAAGAAAAAGTTCTCATCGTTGACAGTGACAAAATTTCCATTTGGTTGACTGCAAGGATTTACATTTACAGTTGAATGAACAGAAATTGGCTTTTTACAATTTTCTTTTCCTCTTACTATCATTTCAATTATTTTTTGAAATAATCGATATGCTTTTTGATGATATTTTCATAATTAAATAAATTTATTTTCTTTTTTAAAAAAATATATAATTCGTTTTTCTACCATATTTTCATCATATATTTAAAATTATAAATGCTAATTATTCGCTTCATTAATCAAATATTAATTTATCAGAACAAAAAAAATGCAAAAAAAAAGTTGTCCAGTTTACTGATCAATCCAATATATTCAATTTTAATTGCTTTTATAATGAAATTTGAATTTGAAATAAAATTATAGAAATACCGCAACTATTATAAAATTAAAAATTTGAAAAAAAAAAAGAGATAAATGGTTGATGGACAATTGATGGGAATGAAACGAATCGAATTATACTGGAAATTATATTATTCATCAAATGGAAGAATTTTCAAATTTGGAAATATTTGGGTAACATTTTTTTTTTTTTTTTCTTTCCCATAATTTGACATTTGGCTGTAAAAACAGATGGTTGATTGATTGTTAATGATTTGATATAATTATATCTGTCATAAGATTTTACCGATATGAATTAATTTCATATTATTTGCTAATCTGATAATTCCATCCAATGATAATTTTATTTTAAGTTTTATTACAAAAGTTTGCATTAAAATATGGCAAATTAATAAAACTACAATTTAGAATGCTTTTTGTTCATTTTTATTTTTTTCTTATTTTTGATAAAACATATTTTTTTCAATTAATTAATTTTAATATAATATAAAATAGTTTGACTTTTTTAATGCTACTTTAAAAATTGCATGTAATTAATTAATAAACACATATTATCTTTTAATGGAACTTTAATGAAATTCAAGTCTAACAACCTAAAATGTATTATTTACTTCCTCTCAATAACAAACATTTATTGTGTCTGTGATTTCTGTGATTTGTAATTTTTCAAAAAAAACAGTCAATAATTTCATAAATTTTACAAATAGTAAATTTGAGCTCACTCTATCTTTTTTTCTTAATATATCCGATTTTTGTTAAACTTTGGTTAAAAAAAATTTAATTTAAATTGGTTCAAAACAAAGCTAACAAAGCTAATCTATTCTCGATATAACTCACAGGTTTTGGTGGTTGACCTTCGACAACCTTTTCGATTGGTGTCGACCATTGCCGTACTGTTGTTTCTACTTTTGCTGACATGACACTTTTACTTTTGCTGTGACAATTAATCGAAGATGACTGTGCTGCTGATGTTGTCCACTGACGTTGTGTTACTATGCCTAATAATGATAAACAATAATATTTGACAAATAATTATTCTGCTAATAAAAGTATTTTATTAATTGTACTAATTAATTTGTCTTTTAAATTTAAAAAAAAAAAAAAAATGAAGTAAAATTATGAAAGAATAACTATTCTATTCAATTATATTCTTGCCGATTTCAATTTTTTCTTAAAAAAAATTTCGCAATCATTTAAATTTACAAATATAACTTTCGTTTTTCTCACAATTTTTTTATATGAAATTATTCACATCACTTACCAACAATATTATCGTTGAGAAAGATAAACTGTTGATTGAGTAGCAGAGGCGGTAATGGTGAGTTACCGGAATGTGGCGCTAGCGATATTTGCGCTTGTTGCTCAGTACAATGAAATTTATTGTTGCTATCAGCTTCGCTATTTATTGATGAAAGAGTATTTGAGAAGTTGAACGATTTCGATGAAATTCGTTTTAGTCTTCGTCCTATAAAAATACTCAATAAAATTTCTTTTTTTTTTTGAAATATAAATATGAAATGTAAAGTGTAATGTAAACGAATAATGATAATATCGAAAAAAAAAAGTAAAAAAAATATTATCACAAACTAAGGACAGCACTGATATCAGTTGATAATATTTGATAAAGCTATAAAGTATAGTCAGCGGGAAAAAATAAAAACGAAGTTTAAAGAATAAAAAGCAATGATAACACAAAAAAAAAAACATAAAAAATAATGTGAAAGGTTAAACTAAAGTAATTAGATTAACAAATGAAACTTACTAAAATGCAAAATTTGAAATTAAAGATCATCCAACTTTATTAGAAGAAAACGAATGAATCAAATTCCTAAAGAACATTAATTTAAATTTGTTCCTATCTAAAGTTTTTTATTCATTTCTCAAATAATCATTAATTATCAAAACTAATGGATGTGCTTTTAAATGAATCATAAAAATCGATATAATAATCAATTAATTTTTGATAAAGACAAAAAACAAAAAAAAAAAAAAAAAAGATAAAGTAAATTCTGCGACGTTAGTTGTCGAATAATAGAATTCAAATTTTTAGATAATTAAATGAAGTATTTTCATTTAAAAAAAAAGAAAAAAAATTAAATAATTATTTCTTTTAATCAATAATAAATTATTTCTGTATGAAAGAATTCAGATAGAAACAAAAAAATATGCCAAGCGCTAATGATATTTTCACTTACTCATTCTTTTTTTAATAATTAAGTAATATCATTGACGTATTTTTGAGAATAAAATTAAAATATTTTATTTGATTTGTGATGTTTACTTATTAGTATTGCTTAAGAACTGATTAATCATAGCTGACCAATGTCTTGACTGACCAATGTCTTGGCTGACCAATGTCTTGGCTAACAAATACTTGTCTTTTAAATCATCAAATATGCCTCACATGGAATCATCCTTCTAAAATGACTGCATTCTGCTTAAGTGGAAAGTTATCTCTGCGTTTTAATTGTGTCAACCATTATCCGAGAGATGTGACAATCTATCTGTTAAACACAAAATAACTGCCATCAATCTAACAAAGCAAAAATGTCAACTGGTTTTGTGACAAAATTACCTGTTTAAATATCAAATTTCTAATCTATCAAAGTATAAATTCCTCAATTAAATCAAAACGATCACCAAAAAAAAAAAAAAAAATGGCAAAAATTTTTTAAAAAGTAAATAGACGTTTTGAATAAATCGTCTTTCTGTAGCTCTATTTAAAAAATACTTAATAATTATCACTGGAAATTAAACCTTTATGGCTAATAATACTAATTAATAATTAGTTGTTGGAATAAATCTATTTATAATGTGTTTAGCTATAACATATTTAATATATCTGAATAATATTTCCAAGTAAAATACAATTCTAATTAATTAATTCATTCATTCATTAAATATATTCCGAATTTGAAATAATTATTCACAGAAGCTCAATTATTAGAGCTTTCTATCGTAACATAAGTGTTAGTACAAGAAAACATTTGAGTAAGCAAAAGGTAAAATTAGAGAAATAGGTGAGTCAGGTAAACAATGACTGTAAACAAACTTAAATGTGAGTCATATGAATTGAAAAGATTGTGAAAACATTCTTTACAAATGCATTAACAATTCAAAAAATTCACTTTTTTACCTTTCAGTTTTTACATTTTCTTTTCTGTTTTTTTAATATTTCAACTTTTTTTTTCCTTCCACTTTGAATAATTATGAAAATTTCTCAAAATTAATCATTTAGTTATATAACAATTTAACATATTTTAAATTAAACAAATATTACTTGTATGTCTGTCTGTCTGTGTATGTATGTATGTATGTATGTGTGTGTGTGTGTATGTATGTGTGTGTAATCCGAAGAGTATAATTTTAGTGCTAATCAAACATCCTTGCACAATTCTATTCAGAAATGAAAATAAATCCTGCTACAGAGTGGAAAAAAACCGGAATTCAAATGCCACCATGCAAAAAGCTTTGATTGATATTTCGCATACATTAACGCTTTGCGCTTATATATTGACATGTCAACCTTCCTTCAAATACATACACACATGCATACATGCATACATACAGAATTGATGAAATTAATCATTAAATTTTTGAAAAAAAAAATTTAAAAAAACGAATAATTTAATATTTTATCATAAACAAAAGAAGAAAATTTACAAAATGTAATCTTTATTATTGCTTTAATCTTTATAATTATAATTTATTTATTTATTTACCTATTTTTTGTTTTCTTATTTATTTCTCCTTTTTTTTTTTCATTTGATTGTATTTTTTATAGATATTAATACATTTACTTTACTGTGCAAATAATGTTATAACATTTTTTTTTTTAGAAATGATAGATACTTTTTTCAAATAAATTTACAAATGTTTCATAAATTAGTGCAATAGTTGCATTATTAATAATTTTGAGCAATTTATGATTAAGTTAAGTAAGCATCGATCTGTCTTTTTTTTTTTTATAAAGTAAAGAATGTTATGATATGATAATGTATGATTGTAAATGCTTTAGCGATACCGCTATTTTAAATAAAAGCGAAATGTTTGTGTTAAATTTTGAAACAAAGATTTGAACAATGTATTTTGTGTGTAAAATGAAGAAAAGATCAGATTGAAATTGATTAGATAAGTGCATTCTATTGTTTCATTAATAAATTCTCTCTTATATTTCAATAAACATTGAATAAATTTGCAATTATTTCAATGTTAGTATGAAAACAATTATATCCGTTTCACATATATTTCAAAATTTAAATAATGATAATAAGTTGAATTTTATGAATGCCAAAATAACATTTCTAAAACTTCATTATGCTTAAAAATCGATTTTTTTTTTTTGCTGAAACAGATATGAAGATAAAACTGGACCGGAAAATATCAACCGGTTTGCATGCAATTATCCATTTACATTTGATATTTCATAGTTATAAAATGATTAAAAATAAAAAATTGAATAGAAGAATTAGTTAGAAACTTAAAATGAAAATTCTAAAAAATTTTTTTCTTCATTTTCTAAATTAATTTCTTATCTTTTTAATTGAAATTTTTGAAATTAATTTTTTTTCTTTAGCTAATTTTCAATGATGCAATGAAAAGAGCTTAAATTGGCGCAAAAATTTATTTTAATTCCTAATTATGTTTAATTACACGAGCATAAATCTTATCAATAAATAATAGTTTTAATTAAATTTCAAAAACTGAATAAAATTACTAAAAAGTTTTGGTAAACAATCATTTGTTTCTTTTTTCTTTGTTTCTTTCAATAACCATAAATGATCAAAAATTTTGATTTATACAAAATTTGTTCGCTTCTTTCTTTGATATTTTAATTGGATTTTAACGCACTATTTATTATATCTTCCCTCTTTACCTTTCTTTTTTTCTTTTTCCCTCTCTCTCTCTCTCTCTTTCCTTACTTTCTTTAATCATTTCAATTGGATTATTACAGTAAAAAGTGATCCATTTTCAGATGATTTCATATTTAACATTTTTTTTTACATTCTTAAACTAAAATTTTCATAAATTATAAAAAAGTTATAGGTTATTTAGTAAAATGTTTAAGTAATAAAAGTGAGAGATTAGTAATTATTATAAAATTTGCTTTGAAATGTTACAATGTTTTGGATTATATAGTATTTAAAATAGTAATAATCCATCGAATTACCGGTTTTTAAGTACCAATTACTCATTTAGAAGGTTATATTTTTTAAATTTGCATTACTGCATTGCATGCATCATTGCTATTACATAGATATTTTAAAAAATTTTGAAAATTATCAAATTTGAATTTTTCTAAAGAATAAATCTAACAATTTGTGCGACTGATTGATTTATTATTTGAATTCAAAATCGAACATTGAATTATAAATAATAACGGAAAGATGGATAGGTTGAGAGAGAGAGAGAGAGAAGGTGTAGGATAATTGTATGCAATACTGTGTAACTATACAAAATTTGTTAAATTAAAAAATGAAATTAAAATTCATAAATTTAAATAAATGTAAATATAGCAGTTGAAAAGGGAGAAAGAAAGATTACTGTCACACTTAGTCAAAATTTTTGTCACTTATAGATTAAAGTGAGAATTTACTTTTCGTGACAATTTAAGGATCATTGGTACAAATTGATGATGTGATGACATAATATATGACAAAATGACATATCTATGATTTCAATTGTAAGTAATATTAATTGTTTAATTAAGCTTGTTGCAGAAATAAATATGCAAAATTAAAATTGGATTACAATAAAATAGGCATAAAAGTTTGAAAACTAAGAAGCATATGGGTGAGAGAAGAAAATGAATGAAGAATTAAAGAATTGTATTAGGAATGAATTCAATCAAAAACGAGTTCTTTTTTTTTTTTCCTTCTTCTTCTTTAAAGGACAATTAAGCTATGTTATATTAGTTACTGTTGTTTTTTGAATTTAAAACAGGCTTTTTCAGATTTCAGAAACGAAAAAAAAAATCCATCATTATGCAAAAAAAGTAAACAAGTAGAAATTTTAATCGTAAATAAGTAATTGCTTTATAAAATGTGATTCTAATAAAAATGAAAGAAAGAAAACAATACTTACAGATGCATAAGAACTAATAATGAAATTTCAAAAAAAAAAAAAAAAAAAAGGGAATAATAATAATAATTAGATTTGGATTTCCTAAAAATCAGCAATTAATTTGTAACAATTATTGGAAATTTTTCATTTTCTTCTACATTTGTTTCAATTTTTCATGAAATTGTTAAATAAACAAAGAAATTTGCGAAAAAAAAAAGAAAAGAAAAAATTTAAAATGAGTACAAGAAAATTAGTTTAATTGGATGATACGATAAAGAGATTCTCTCTATTGTAATTCGAATGAAATTTGATAAACTTATGAGTGCAAAAATATTGCAAAATAATAATTTGTATTTTTTTTTTTTTGAAAATTGCTGTAATGATACCGTGGTATATATTTGCTTAGTAATAGTAAAATAACAATACATTGATGAAAATAAATAAACCGGAAAATATACTTTACTGTCTAAGCCGGAAAGCACTTAGGTACCTTGCTGTTTAGACCGGAAAGCACATAGGAATTTTACTGTCTAAACTAGAAAGCATATAGATATTTTACTACCCAAACTGGAAAATATATAGGTATTTTACTGTCTAAGCCGGACCGGAGAGCATATGGATATTTTACTATTTAAACTGGAAAGTATAGAGGTACTTTACTTCTAAGACGGAAGGTATATAAGTATTTTAGTGTTTAAACCGGAAAGCAAACAGGTATTTTATTGTTTTTTTTTTTTTTAAACCAATGAATGAATGAAGAAAATGAATGATAATTAAATCAAAGTTAAAAAGGAAAATGACAAATGAAATTTCAGATAGAAATAAGAAAGTTAGTGAAATTTGTTTGTTTATATGATAAGCAATGATAAAATAGCAATATTTTTTCATAGATTAAAAAAAAAGAAAAAAAATTTTAAATCAATTATAATAGATGTGAAGAAGGGAAACTATAAAAATGTCACAAGTTTTTCGCTTTTTTTTTTAAGAAAAGAAGCATTTGTTTACTTAACATTTATTTAGCTTTTGTGAAATAATCTACGATGAGTTTTGCAATGATCAAATATTTAAATTTGCTATTGTCAAAGTATTTAAGTGTAAAACAGCAAAGTAATTAATAATTACCACTTTCTCATTTA